AAAATGAGAAAGGCAGAAGCTGGGCATCCAAACGGAGTTTCCCAAATAAGCAGTAAAGACCTAACTGTCCATCTGGTGCCTCCCAGGGTCTCCTTGCTAGGACGCTGGAGGCAGCAGGCAGAGCTGGGACTCAAACCCAGGAACTTGGATGTAAAATGTCGCTGTCCCAGACAGCACTTTTTTTTTTAAGATTTATTTTAAAATTTTGATTGGAAAGTCAGATTTTCAGAGAAAGAGAGACACAGAATAAGATCTTCCATCTGCTGATTCACTCTCCAAGTGGCTGCAATGGTGGGAGCTAGGCTGATCTGAAGCCAGGAGCCAGGAGCTTCTTCTGGGTCTCCCATGCGGTCGCAGGGTCCCAAGGCTTTGTGCCATCCTCGACTGCTTTCCCAGGTCACAAGCAGGGAACTGGAAGGAAAGTAGAGCAGCCGGGGTATGAACCGGTGCCGATATGGGATCCTGGCCCTTGCAAGGCGAGGACTTTAGCCACTAGACTACTGTCAGCAGTACTTAGTGGGGGACAAAAGTATAGATGGATTTTTTTTTGCTACTTCCTTAAAAATAAAGGTTTATTTAAGACAGGGAGAGAGAGCGAGCTCTCATCTACTGAATCACTCCCTAAATGACCATCAGGGTATTTGGCCAAGGCCAAAGTCAGGAGCCAAGAACTCAATCCAGGATTCTCACATGTGTGGCTGGAACGCAATTAACTGAGTCATCACTGCCAACTCCCAGGGACTACTTTGGCAGGGGTCTGGACTCAGCATTATACCCAAGTACTCCAATACGGGATGTAGCATGCTGACCATTAGGCTAAATGGCCATCTTTCCATTTCCCTTTTTATGTTGTTCATGAATAATCAGACTGTCTGCCTAACTGTGTTAAGGCATTATAAAAGAATTTATACTGGGCCCGGCATGATTGCCTTATGGCTAAAGTCCTAGCCTTGCACATGCTGGGATCCCATATGGGTGCTGGTTCTAATCCTGGCGGCCTCGCTTTCCCATTCAGCTCCCTGCCTGAGGCCTGGAAAAGCAGTTGAGGACAACCCAGAGCCTTGGGACCCTGCACCCGTGTGGGAGACCTGGAGGGAGTTCCTGGCTCCTGGCTCTGGATCGGCATAGCAACAGCCGTTGACCTCACTTGGGGAGTGACTCATCGGACGGAAGACCTTTCTCTCTGTTTCTCCTCTCTGTTTATCTCTGACTTTGCAATAAAAATAAATAAATAAAGAATGCAGACACAGAGAAAGATCAAATTCTTCCATTTAATGATTCGCTTTCCTAATGGCTGTAACAGCCAGATCTTGACCAGGTCAGAGCCAGAAGCCTGGAACTCCAGCTGGATCTCCCAGGTGGGTGCAGGTACCCAAGCACTTGGGCCACAGCCTTTGCTGGCTCTGATTCCTTTCCCTCTATCTTTATTTCCAGCATGAGTAGCTGACCAATTCAAGAAAGACGTATGAGTGAGGAAGAAGTTGATCAGAGTTCCTTGGTTGTTTGTTCTTTCTTAAACTCATTGCGTTTTTTTTCCCTGCATTCAAAGCAAGTTTTGTTTTTATATTTTTAGAGATTTATTTGTTTATTTGAAAGTCAGAGAGAGACAGAGTAAGAGAGAAATAGATCTTCCATCTGCTGATTCACTCCCCAGATGGCCCATAACATCCCGGTTTGGGTCATGCCAAAACAAGCAGCCAGCAGCTTCCCGTGGGTTCCCTAAGGACTTGGGCCATCCTCTGCAGCTTCTTTCAGGCCATTAGCAGGGAGCTGGGTCAGAATTTCAACAGTCAGGACACAAACAGTATTCCTATGTCACAAGCACTCACTTAATGTGTTATGCCACAACGCAGGCCCCAAGCTCCCAGTTTCCTCATCACCTTGGGGAGTCTAAATCCCAACAGAAGAAGTTTGCTTCAACTGATGCCATTGCATACCTACACACTGGTTCTCTCTCTGCTCTGCCCCGCTTCCTTTATCTCAGTGCCAGGCAAGCTCAATAAACAGCCATCACGTGAATCAGACAGGAATCAAGGGACCTAAGGGGTGGTGAATATTTCACCCTTTGGCATCCTGTAAATACTCTGGGGGCTTTTAGGCAAGTTCTGTGGGTGTCTTCAGGGATAAAGTCAAGTACAGGGCCTCCGATGTGCAGAGGAGAAGTGGCTTCTAGCATAGGGATGCTCCTGACAGTGTCAGCCCGGCCAACTCCTGCAGTCAGGAAGAGGCCTGTTGATTTGGATCTGATCTGTCTCTCAAGTCAGATGCACAATCACATCCTATTCCAGTTGGCCTTGCCTCCCTCTCCCGTTACTAACGACGGGGATCTCATTACCTCATCAACCTCTAATTTATTTATGATAAAGCTGAGGTTAGAGAAAAGGAGACAACTCCTGGCCCCTTTTAGGGACCTTTTGTAATCAAGCTTTTCTTTCCCTAATCTTCCTTTTTATGCCTGATTTATTATTTATCATTTTAAATTTTTTTCTAAAGATTTATTTATTTTTATTGGAAAGTCAGAAGAGAGAAGGAAAGGAAGATCTTTCATTTGCTGATTCATTTCCTAAGCAGTCACAATGGTCAGAGCTGAGCTGACCTGAAGCCAGGAGTCAGAAGCTTCTTCCGGGTCTGCCACTCAGGTGCAGGGTTCCAAGGCTTTGGGCTGTCCTCAGCTGCTTTCCCAGGCCACAAGCAGGGAGCTGGATGGGAAGTGGGGCTGCCAGGATTAGAACTGGTGCCCATGGGCCCAGGGTGGTAGCCTAGCGGCTCAAGTCCTTGCTTTGAATGTGCTGGGATCCCATACAGGTGGATGTAAGAACTTTTCCTCTGTCTCTCTTTTCTCTGTATATTTGACTTCCCAATTAAAAAAAAAAAAAAAAAAAAGAACTGATGCCCATATGGGATCCCAGCACGTGCAAGGCAAGAACTCACCGGGCTCTATTGGAAAGGCTGATTTACAGAGACAAGTAGAGACGGGTCTTCTGTCTGATGATTAGTGAATCCCCCAAGTAGCTGCAATCCAAAGCCAGGAGCCTCTTCCAGGTCTTTCTGGCAGGTGCAGGGTCTGAAGGCTTTGGACCATCCTCTACACTTTCCCAGGCCACAAGCAGGGTGTTGAATAGGAAGTGGAGCAGCCGGGACACGAACTGGTATCCATATAGGATATGCTGGTACTTGCAAGGAGAGGACTTAGCGATTGAGCCATCACTCCAGAACCCCCTCCTTCCTTTCTGCCTATTTTAGAAACAAAAGAATGCAAAACAAAACTTTTTTTTTTTTTTTTTTTGGCCTCTGGAGAGTTGGGGGATTGTGCCTATTGGTGGAGACCAGCTGTGAGAATTCGCCAGGCCTGAGAGCTCCCATGGGTTAATGAATCTCTCCGGAAGCAAAGGGAGCAACTTTGAAAAGCAGCACATAGCTCCTGGGAATCCGGAAGACAGGGATCTCTAGCATGAGGAGTTCTGTGTGGATTCATTTGTCTTATTAAATACCCGATGTAGAAATATGTGGAACAGTGGCCTGTGGTGGTACAACGGATACAGACGGCTGTGAGGCAGGCATCCCACATGGGCACCAGTTCGTGAGCCTGCTAATGTGCCTGGGCAAAGTAGGAGGAAGATGGCCCAAACACCCCAGGGTCGCTGCTCCCCACATCAGAGACATGGCTGAAGCTCCTGGCTTTGGCCTGGCCCAGCCCTGGCTGTTGCAACCATCTTGAGAGAGAACCAGGAGATGGAAGGTCTGTCCCTCCTGCCCTCTGTGTGTAACTCTTTCAAAGTAAGTGAATATTAAAAAAAATATATATGGATTTGTGTGGGCACTGAGTAGTAGAGAGTTAAGTGACTATTTGCAATGTCTGTATCCTTGAAGGGATTGCTAATTTGAGTCCCAAGCTACTTTGTTTCCCATCCAACTTCTTGCTAATGTGCCCGGGATTGAGTTCTGTTCCTCCAGGGAGACCTGGCTGGAGATTCCTGGCTCCAGGCTTCAGCCCTGCCTATAGGAACAGGCGGAGGGAAGAGCGCTACTGCTCGGCTTGCCTCTTTGATAAACGCAGACTATCCTTTCCTTAGGTCTCATCTCTCTGGTAAGAACTGATGAAAACTCTTTTTATTTGAAGCTTCAAGCAATGCAGTTGCATAATCCTCTGCCAGGGTTTTGTTTTTAACCCCCGTTTAGCATGCTGGGCAAATCCAGCCAGTTCACAGATGTCCTTTTTTTAATGGCTGTGATGGTTCCCTCATAGTATTGGGTTCCTATCATTACCCATGGGCTTTCACAGTTTCCAGTTAGAGAATTAGCCCCTGAATCATGTCGTTTATGGGGGGGGGGGAAGTTCCTATGAGCTTTACATCTGCCACCTGGCGCTGGGAGTAAACCAATGTTGAGTAGGAATAGTTTTTAGGCACCTAAGAGGGTGTCCTTGCCATTTTTAATTCTTTTTCCCTTCAAGAGGCTGAGTGGGACAGGCTGCAAAAGGGTCTCTTAGGCCAACCCAGGAGGCTGAAGAGGCCGTTAGGGCGTCTCTCTGGGCTGGTGGTGCAGGGGTGGGGTAGCAGGGCCCCCGGGAGGACTACAGGGTGGAGGGCATGCAAGCGCTGGGCTGCGGGTGGAGGGGTGCAGGTCCGGCGGGTGGAGGGCGTGCAAGCGCTGGGCCGGGGTGTGGGGGTTGCAGGGCCGGCGGGGGCGGGGCCGGGCTGTGCGCGCGCGACCCTCCGGCGCGCTCGGGTCTGGTCCGGCCGGGGGTGGCCTCTCTGGCCCCCGGCTCCCGCGCGGGCTCTATGACACCCGCACGGGCTCGCGGGACGGCGAGGGGTGGGGCCGAGCGAGGGGCGGGGCCGTGCTGGGTTCCACCCCCTACACACACATACACCACGTACGTACTGTACGTCACGGCGGCCGGGGGGCGGTGCGTGGGGGGGCGGGCGGAAAAAGGCGGAGATTCTCTCGCGAGATTCTATAATACGAACGCCGCGCGCCTGCGCCCTGGCCGGAGAGGCGAGCGGTGGCGGCTGCGGTGCCGGCGGTTGTGTGAGGAGAGTCGACCGAGGCCGTGTGGAGGCCCGAACCCGCCACCATGAGCAGCACCCTAGCCAAGATCGCCGAGATCGAAGCTGAGGTGATAACGGGCGGCAGCTGGCGAGTCGGAGCGCGTCCTTGTGTTTTTTTCTTCCCCCGTCAGGGTTCCCGGGAGCGTCCCTTCTTTCCCTGTTCCACAGTCCTCGGCAGGCTCGCCTGAGCTCCGGGACTCGTCGTCGTTTTCGCGCGCGCGTTTCCTCCCTTCCTCCTCCTCCTCGCTTGTGTTTCGGGCCGGCGTCCACACCCGCGTTCCTCAATTTCCCTCAGCTGCGGCTCGCCTCCCGCGCCCCTCGTACACCACGGACAGCCCCTTGGCCTCTGCTCCGCTCGCACACGGGGCTTCCAGGGGGTCCGCGCCCCCCAGGCCTCACCCTGTGTTTGGTTCCTACCCACCAGCTTGAGATGGCTTCTTTCCCTTGTTTTTATTATTTTTACCCCCTCCCTTCTTGGTCGTCTTTTCTCTGAACGATACCTAAATCTTGTCCTAGTTCATGTTCTGGTTAAGGATTTTTTTCCTCGTTGTCCCTTGTTTTTCACGGTATGCTTTCTGCAGTCAGTTGGTCTGTGTGGTAGGAGTTGCTTGACAGCTGCGTCGCGTGTGATTTCTGGGGCATGAGATGACCGGCTCTTATTCAAGGACAGTCAGGTGGGGACATGATAGATACGAGCAGGGACACCAACAGGTGGGCTTTGGGCTGACCTGGCGGCTTCATTGGGGTCATCCGCATCTCCTTGCTGCTCTTTGGGCCTCAGTTGTTTTGGCTGTTGTAATAGGGAAATGAGCCAATGGTGGAGAAAGTATTCTTGCCTTTTTACCCTTAGATGGGGTATGGAAATTACCTTCAGAGCTGGCAAAAGGGAAAGAAAAAATTTTTTAAAGTTTATGCATTTTGGGCCCGGCGCGGTGGCGCAGTGGTTAAGGTCCTTGCCTTGCATGCCCGGGATCCCAGATGGGCGCCGGTTCTATCCCTGGCAGCCCCTCTTCCCTTCCAGCTCCCTGCCTGTGGCCTGGGAAAGCAGTCGAGGACGGCCCAAAGCTTTGGGACCCTGCACCCGTGTGGGAGACCTGGAAGAGGCTCCTGGCTTCAGATCGGCATAGCATCGGCCGTTGCGCTCACTTGGGGAGTGAATCATCGGATGGAGGATCTTCCTCTCTGTCACTCCTCTCTGTATATCCACCTTTCCAATAAAAAAATAATAAAAATAAATCTTTTAAAAAAAAGTTTATGCATTTTTATTGGAAAGAGAGATCTACAGAGAGAGGAGAGACTGAGATCTTTCATCTGTTGGTTCACGCCCAAATGGTTGCAGTGGCTGCATTGGCTGGGAACTGAGCCCATTCCAAGCCAGAAGCCAAGAACTTCTTCCAGGACTCCTAGGTGGGTGCAGGGTCCTGAGGACTTGAGCCATCCTCTACTGCTTTCCCAGGCCACAGGCAGAGCTGGGAGCTGGATGGGAAGTGGAGCAGCCGGGACACAAATCAATGCCCATATGGGAGGCTGGAGCTTGGAGATGGAGGATTAGTCAGTTAAGCCACCGTGCCAGCCCTGTTCTGAAAATTGTACCCTGTGGGAACTGCTTGTGATGCAGGGCTGTGATTCTTCCCTCACAGATGGCTCGGACTCAGAAGAACAAGGCCACAGCACACCATCTTGGGTTGCTGAAGGCTCGCCTTGCCAAGCTTCGCCGAGAGCTCATTACTCCAAAAGGTGGAGGAGGTGGTGGACCGGGAGAAGGTTTGTGTTTTTCTTTGGTTGTAATTTTTGGTGATAATTTCTGTGAAAATAATACGTACATGTGGTTTAAAACTTGTTACTGCTTTTGTATCCAAGTAGTCTTGTATTTCCTAAGCCTGAATCTTGAATTGATTCTGCTGGTTCCTTAGGAAATGAGTAGGGTCTACATGAAGTATGAGTGTGTTGTGCGCTGATCCAAACAGATTTATATTATCTAACACAAATAGGAAAATTTGCTGCCAGGATTAGAACAAGTGCCCATATGGGATCCCTGCATGTGCAAGGTGAGGGCTTTAGTAGCTAGGCTACCATGCTGGGCCCAGGAGTGCAGTTTTTATGTTAATTACTGCCCTGAATGTTATGAGTTCTTGTGAGGGAACATTGTATATTTTAGTTCTGCTTTACAGCTAAGCCATTAAAAGTGTGTGAAGTAGGGCCTAGAGGGTAGGCAATGGAAAAGTGAGACATTGGAGTGAGTTTTAACATGGCTGTGAATAAACTGTTCTCTTTTTTTATTATTATTATATTTTTCTTTTTTTTTTTTTTTTAATTTTTTGTAACTCTTCTCTTTTTAATGTTTGTTGTTTTAGGTTTTGATGTGGCCAAGACAGGCGATGCTCGGATCGGGTTTGTGGGTTTTCCGTCTGTGGGCAAGTCAACGTTGCTCAGTAACCTGGCAGGGGTGTATTCTGAGGTGGCAGCCTATGAGTTCACTACTCTCACCACTGTGCCTGGTGTCATCAGATACAAGGGTGCCAAGATCCAGGTGAGTCCGAGTGCAGTGAGAACTGCAGGCCAAGAATGGGAACAGTGTGTTCTCATGTTCATTTCAGAGCCCTTTGGGAACTCACTTCATCCTAGGTGTGATCTTTAATCTACAGACTCTGACTGCCTGGCAGCATGTAAGTAAAAATAATACAGTGGGGTGCAGTAACTGCCTGTGAAAGTGGAAGGAAGAGAGGGAGATGAGGGAAGAAGGTGTGGTAAGACACAGAAGGGTTTGTGTAGAAAGTGACATTGGAGGTGGGTCTTCAAGTAGAATTTTACCAGGCATAAAAAAGAAAAGGAAAAATATATTATATTTAGATAGAAGAGCCTGGAGTGGTGGAAAATAGGTTAGAGCTGGATTTTACAGGGCCTTGTATACTTGCTGGGGGAATTAGATTTTATCTAATAGAAAACCAGAAACGATCAGAAACATTTTAATAAGTAAATACTATGATCAGATTTTTTTTAAGATTTTTTTTTTTTTAAATTAGTAATGCAAATTTACAAAGAGAAGGACAGACAGAAATATCTCTCATCTGCTGGTTCAAACCCCAAGAGGCCATAATGGCTGGAGCTGGGCCGATCTGAAGGCAGGCGCCAGGAACTTCTTCTGGGTCTCCCATATGGTTGCAGGGTTCCGAGGCTTAAGGCCAACATCAACTGCTTTCCCAGGCCACAAGCAGAGCAGGGAGATGAATGGCAAGTGGAGCAGCAGGGACATGAACTGGCACTCATATTGAGATCCCAACACATGCAAGGCGAGGACTTTAACCATTAGGCTGTTGTGCTGGGCCCAGATTTTTTTTTTAAGATTTATTTTATTGGAAAGTTAGATTTACAGAGAGAAAGAGAAACAGAAAGATCTGCACACTGGTTCACTTCCCAGGTGGCTGCAGTGGCTGGAACTGAGCTGATCCGAAGCCAGGAGTCGAGAGCCACTTCCAGGTCTCCCACGCGGGTGCAGGGTCCCAGGGCTTGGACCATCTTTGACTGCTCTACCAGGCCACACGCAGGGAGCTGGAAGGGAAGTGGAGCAGTTGGGACACTAAATGGTACCCATACAGGAATCTTGGCACATGTAAGGTGAAGTTCTAGCTACTAGGTTATTGCACTAGGCCTAATCAAATATTTTTCAAAAGGCCAGGCCTCTCTGAGACCTAATGAAGCCAGTGTGCTAGAATGTTCTTACATAGAAGATAGGTTTCTGTGTGAGAGCTCACTGTGCATGTGGGAGAAGGTACATAAGAGTGCACATTTGAATCTTTATTGGCCATTTCCATTTTCTTCTGATTTCACGGCACTCTTAGTGTCTCAGCCATTGTTTTATGATAACATTGCTGTAATTTTTTATGGTGTCTCTACCCCAAAGTCCACCCCTGGTGGTTTTATGGGTTAGTTAGGTACAGACAATAAAGTGTGTTTTTCGCAGAAACGGTTACTTGCCAGTAGGACGTTGTCATCTATTGAGGACCACAGCATTCCTCAACTTTGGAACCAGAAAGGATATTACTACATTTGTTCCTTTCTTCCAAGCATTGACTTTTGCATGGTACTTATTTTTTCTCATAGCAGCTGCTGGATCCCAGGGTGTACCTGGAGAAATTGGAAACAGAGTAGCCAGGGCTACCAAAGTCAGGGGGAGACAAGCCTGGATCAGTTACATCAGATCCAAATCTTATGGAAGCGGAGTTTTTCAGCTGTTGCTATGGTAAAAAGTAAGTACCATGCAAGAAAACTTAGGAAGTGAATGTGTTGCGGGAGTTAAATCTAGGTGCTCTGAGATGGGGCACAGGTTTCCTAACCAGTGTCTTAACTGCTCTGCCAAATACCCACCTCCGAAGTGTGAACTACAAGAAGACAAGCTTTATGTGGAGAAATGCACAGACATCATCTTAACAAATGAGCAGAGGTTGCTGTCACCAGTCAGATTTGTAACTGAACCCCAGGGCACTGACTGAAATGTACACAACATCACATCTTGCAGAAATACTTCATACCTGAGTCTAGTCGTGGAAGAACTTCAGACCAACCTAAGCTGAGAGGCATTTTGTAAAACAGCCCCTAGTGCCCTGAGGAGTGTGAACAAGTGTAAGAGGTGGCAGAAGAGGAGGGTGATCCCATGTTGTGTGTGTTTACATTTGTATACATTGTGTGCAAATTTGAATATATACACTGTGTGTATATCTACTCCAGATACAGGATTTTAGAACAGAGATCATTGGAAAAATGGGTAAAAGCTCAAATAGATCAGCAGTTTAGTGAATATTATTGTACCAGTGTTACTCTATCCCTGGTAATTATGTTTATGTAACGAAAGTGATATGAGAAACTGTAATGTTTTTGTGACTCTTCTGGAAATCTCAAGTTAGTGCAAAATATAATACAAAATGGGAGAATCAAACATGTGTAATGTCGGAATAATGATGCTGGGAGCAGGCTGGGTCTGGATCTCTGCAGTTATGCTGAGGTTCTGGTCCCATAGATCTTGGGTGTTTAGGTATTGCGTGTGAAAGGCTTGTCTGCAGCTGACCAGAGGGATACTCACCATTGGCTTACAAATAAGATTGGATTGGAGTCTCTCACATTTTGGATCGCAGAAGAAAAATAAAACATTTCGTTTGGTATGTTCACATTCATCCATGCCTTTCTCTTTCCTCTCCTTCCGCATCCATAATCTTCAGCTGCTGGATCTCCCTGGAATCATTGAAGGTGCCAAGGACGGGAAAGGGAGAGGCCGGCAAGTCATTGCAGGTGAGGGAGTGGTCTGGCTTTCCCCTTTGGAGAAGGTTCTGGAGATTGTGTCACAGTGATAGGGAGCGCTTCACCTGACTTCTCTGTAGCAGTGTTGCCCTTGGAGATAGCCCAGGCAGCGGTGGACCAGACCTCCTAGGAGACCCTAGAATGGGAGAGGTGGAATGCTGTGTGTGGTGTTGTGCTGCATTGTCGGTGCCAGGTTCAGAACTAGAACTGTGGTGTCCTGACGGTCAGCCTATTCCTTTCCTTTGTTTCTTTTTTAGAGCAAAATATTATAAAAGGTTAGTCATAAATTCTAGTGGTCTGCTGTGTCGCCTCCCCATTGCCTCCAGTGTTGCTCTCTGTTGTCAACTGCGCCTTCAGCTATCCCTCCTGCCGCCTTCAGAGCTTTGAAATGCTCTGCATGTATTGCCAACTTGTGATTACTTAATTACTTAATTTTTGCTATTTTTTTCATTTCTTGTTATGAAAAAGAATTCTTCTTTCAAAGAAGTTATTTCATGATTTTGAGTTAACTATCACGGTTTACATTATTTAAATGCTGACATAGTAGAATGACTCAATTTTTCTCTTAAAATTTTAAGGTTTCTTTTTTTTTTTAAATTGGAAAGGTGGATCAGATTTACGGAGGTAAGGAGAGACAGAGAAAGATCTTCCATCTGCTTGCTGGTTTGCTGGTCAAATGGCCGCAATGGCCAGAGCTGAGCCAGTCTGAAATCAGGAACCAGGAACCTCCTTTGGGTGCAGGATCCAAGGCTTTAGGCCATCTTCAACTGCTTTCCCAGGCATAAACAGGGAACTGTATGGGAAGTGGAGCTGCTGGGGATGAACCAATGTCCGTATGGGATGTCAGCATTTGCAAGGCAAGGATTTAGTCACTGGGCCACCACGCAAGGCCTGTATATTTGCTTTTGAAGTTTCATGTAAGATTTCCTTGTCTTTTCTGCTTGTCTTTTCTTGTGTGTCAGACCTGGTTTGCTGTATTACATTTTTAGTTCCTTTATCTCCTCAGGACAATTTTTTGAAAGATTTGTTTTTATGTATTTGAACAGAAGAGCCATAGAGAGAGGGAGTCAGATCTTTCCATCCATTGGTCGCTCCCCAGATGACCAGAACTGCTGGGCTGTGGCAGGCTGAGGCCAGGAGCCCATAGTGACATCTGAGTCTCACAGGGATGAAGGGCCCCGAGCACCTGGACCATCTTCCGCTGCTTTCCTAGACACACTAAGCGGGGAGGTGGCTTGGAAGAAGAACAGCAGGACTCCAATCAGTGGTCATGTGGTGTGCTTGTATTAACTCACTGTGCCACATTGCTGGCACATTGCTGCTCCTACCTTATCTGTTTTGAGTGTGAGTCCCTCTTCATGCTGAAAGTTCTTGGATATCTGGTGGTCCTTGATATTCTGCCTTATTTAAGAATGAGGAACATGAGACAGTATTGTATGAATGCAGGTTAAGCCGTCACCTGTGACTCTGCATCCAATAGGAACACCGATTCAATCCCGACTGCTCCATTTCCAATCTAGCTCTTTGCTAATGTGCCTAGAAAAGTAGCTGAAGATGGCCAGGTGCTTTGGCCCCCGCACCCCTGTGGGAGTCCCAGAGCCCTCCTGTCAGGCTGACCCAGCCTTCTTTTGACTGTGTAGACAGTGAATCAGTGGTTGGAAGATATCTCTTGCCTTCCAAATAAAATATATTTTAAAAAAAATTAACTAGGGCAGTGCTGGGCTGTTTTGTGCAGGAATTTGGAGTAATGTTTCAGGCTGTTGCTGTAGATTGACATGCATGCAGTACTTTGGCTTTCTTGAAAGGAGAATTCTGTGTCTATAACAGGTTTTTATGTGTGGCTATTCTGGCGCCAAGGCCTTCCTGGCTTTGTCAAGTATTCTGCTTAGAGGTATGCAGGGGACAGGAAAGGAAGGTGTGGAGACTTCGAGGTGGCTTGCTCTGCAGTCTGTCATGCTATTGTTAAGCTCCTCTCTTGGGTGTGATATGCCCTTGCCTGCCTCGGTTCCTGGCCTTTTTCTCCTTGGTTCCTTTTCTCTCTCTCTTCTTAAAGATTTATTTATTTATTTTTAAAAGATTTACTTATTTTTATTGGAAAGGCAAATAGAGAGGAGGAGTGACAGAGAGGAAGATCTTCTGTCCAGTGGTTCACTCCCCAAGTGACTGCAAAGATCAGTGCTGCAAGGGAGGACTTCAGTCACAAGGCTACTGTGCTGGGCCTAAAATTTATTGATTTTTATTGGAAAGTCACATTTATAGAGAGGAGGAGAGACAGAAATATCTGCTGTTCACTGGTTCACTCACAAAGTAGCTGCAACCACTGGAGCTTAGCTGATCAGGGCCTAGGAGCCTCTTCTGGATCTGCCACGAGGGTGCAGGGTCCCAAGGCTTTGGGTCGGCATCCATTATCTCCCCAGGGCACAAGCAGGGAACTGGGTGGGAAGTGGGGCTGCTGGAATTAGAACCTGCATGCATATGGGATCCCTGTGCTTGTGAGGCGAGGACTTTAGCCTCTAGGCTACTGCTCCAGGCCCCTGGGTATTTAGTTTTTATGTTACTATTAAGACATTGGGTCAGAATGGGATAAATATTCAGTAGGTATGTTTGGGTGATTGGTTTTCCTTAATTAAAAAAAAAAAATATCTTAAACTTGTAGATCTAAAATACACTCCTGACATTGCTACTGACATTTTTGTGTGCATTAGTTTTCTGTAAGCATGAATGTGAATAACACAGAACAGAGAAGAGTAAGATATACATCATGAGCTTTGCTTTGCGCTGTTTGAAGAGATCTTTCCACCCTGTGACTTGAAAATTTATATTCTGCCTTTCTTACTTGGTAATACTAACAATACCCTTGTTTCATTCCCTGGAGACTCCTTATTTGAACCCAAATTATTTTAAATTTTTTACTTTGAATTTTTACAGTCAATTTTTTTTTAGTTATTTTTTAAAAGATTTATTTATTTATTGGAAAGTCAGATAGACAGAGAGGAAGATCTTCCGTCCAATGATTCACTCCCCAAGTGAGCACAACGACCCATGCTATGCCAATCCAGAGCCGGGATCCTGGAAATTCTTCCATGTATCCCACGCGGGTGCAGGGTCCCAAGGCTTTGGGCCGTCCTCTGCTGCTTTCCCAGGCCACAGGCAGGGAGCTGGAAGGGAAGTGGGGCTGCCGGGATAGAACCGGCGCCCATCTGGGATCCCGGGCGTGCAAGGTGAGGACTTTAACCACTGTGCCACCGCGCCGGGCCCCAGATAGAATTTAAAAAAAAAAGATTTATTTTTTTATTGCAAAGTCAGATATATATAGAGAGAGGACGAGGAGTCACAGAGGAAGATCTTCCATCTGATGATTCACTCCCCAAGTGACTGCAACGGCCGGTGTTGTGCTGATCTGAAGCCAGGAGCCAGAAACCACCTCCAGGTTTCCCACATGGGTTCGGGGTCCCAAGGCTTTGGGCTGTTCTCGACTGCTTTCCCAGGCCACAAGCAGGGAGCTGGATGGGAAGTGGAGCTGCCAGGATTAGAACCGGCACCCATATGGGATCCTGGCGCTTTCAAGGCAAGGACTTTAGTTGCTGGGCCACCACACTGGACCCCAAGATAGAACATCTGAAAATTTTAGGATAGACAAGGGTTTCTTAGATGGCATACTGAAATTCTGAACTGTAAAAGAACGCATAGTTCTCATGCTTTCAAAATTAAAAGCTTGCTCTTTGAAAGACAAAATAAGAAGCAAGCCACAAACGTGGGGGATATATACAAATCTATATATATCTATATATATATATATTCTATATATATATATAGATTTGACAACAGATTTGTTTATGGAATATATGTGTAATTTAAAAATATTTGCCTGTTTGAAAGGCAGAATTAGGGAAGGAAGGAGAGAGAAAAAAGGGAGAAATCTTTTGCCTGATAGTTTGTTCCCATCTGGGTCTCCCACATGGTTGGCAAGGACCTAAGTACTTGGGTGGTTTTCTGCTGCTTTCCCAGGTGCATCAGCAGGGAGGTGGACTGGGAATGGAACAGCTGGAGCTGAAAGTGACACCAACATGAGACGCTTGCCTCATGGGCAATGGCTTCATGCATTATGTCACTTGTGGGCACCTTTGGAATACATAAAGAATTGTTACAGTTCACTAATAAGGCAGCCTAGTTAAAAATGGTGTTAAGAGTGAACTCAGAAGGTAAATGAGTGGCCAGTAAGCACCTGAAAAGGTGGCTCGGCGTTCTATGTCATCAGGGAAATGTGACCACAAGGAGATGTTGTCATACTAGGATGGCTAACATTAGGAAAAAGTGACAGCTGCCAGTGTTGTGGAGCAATGTGGCAGCTGCTGATTGAGGTAGAAGATAGTATAGACATTTGAACAATTGTTCAGCAGTTTGTAATGAAATTGTTCAGCAGTTTGTAATGACCTGAATTTACCAAGTGACCTAGCAGCTTCATTGGTATTTGTCCAGGGGAAATGAAAAAATATATATCTGTAGAAAGACTTGTTCATAAATGTTCATAGAAGGTTTATACAAAATACTTCAAAACTGAAAACAACTCAAACATCTATCAAGTGAATGGATATACAAATCATGTATGAAGTGGAATGCCACTGAACTATGTAGATAAATTAATTACAGATACACGTACAACATGCTTAAATGTCACATTACTTCAGAATAAAAGGTTCAGGCACAGGACTGCATTTTTTGGTTTATTTTTAAAGTTGGTTTGTGAGACAGAAAGACACAGCTTCCATCTTGTAGTTTATTCCAAATTCTACAACCAGAGGGATTGAGCTGGGTTTGAAACTAGAATTGGAAAGTGCTATTTAGCTTTTCCACGTGGATGGAGCTCATTTACTTTTGTGATAGCTGTCTCCGTTGAGTCCCTGACTGATGGGGCTGGCACCATAGTGTAGTATGTTAAAACTCTACCTTTGGTGCTGACATCCTGTATAAGTGCTGATTTGAGTCCCAGGTGTTGCACTTCCTATCCAGTTCCCTGCTCGTGGCCTGGGAAAGCAGTGGATGATGTCTCAAAGCCTTGGGAGCCTGCACTTGCTTGGGAGACCTAGAAGAAGCTCCTGTCTTCTGGCTTCGGATTGGTGCAGTTCCCTGTTGTTGCCATTTGGGGAGTGAGCCAGTGGATGGAAGATCTCGGTTTCTCCTCTCTATAAATGTGCATTTCAATAAAAAGAAATCAGTCCTAAAAGAAATTAAGAAACCCCTGGCTGTTGTAGAAATGAACCAGCAGATCGGGGCATCTGTAACTGTCTCTGTCTGCCTTTCAAATTAAATAAACACAAAATTTAAAAGTGTGTAGGAGAATACTCTTATGTGAATATTTAGGTTAATTATAGCTTCCTTCCACTTAGTTTGAAGATGTTCGGTTGTGTGTATGTATGCACATGTGTGTTTTTATTCTTCAGTGGCCAGAACCTGTAACTTGATCCTCATCGTTCTGGATGTCCTGAAACCCTTGGGGCATAAGAAGATAATTGAAAACGAGCTGGAAGGCTTTGGCATTCGTTTGAACAGCAAACCTCCCAACATTGGCTTCAAGAAGAAGGACAAAGGAGGCATTAATCTCACAGCTACTGTGAGTTGGACAGGTGACACTGGGCAGGCCACTGCCAATCGGCATCGGCATGGAGAGGTCTCTGGCTTTGCCCTGAAGTAATTGAGATAACACAGTGCCTTTGTGCTGACTGACAAACATTTTAAGATTCGGATAGGAATTATTTTCACATTTACCTTTGCAACTTCATTCCTTCTTTGGACTTATCTCTTTGTGGGTGTACAGGAGTATGGACCAGTCTTAGTTTTGCATGAAGTAGATGTTTGCCAATATGTTGTATTTGCATTCATTTAAGAATGGTAGAATATCTGCTTTAGACCAAACACATTGTTTTAGGTTCTTGGTGGTGGCAGGAATGGACATGGAAAAGGAAACAAAATAGACAAAAACTCATGCCTTTAAGTTCTAATTTTGTAATGTAGCAAACCAAATTAATTGAAAAATATACAGTGTACCAGATAATGATAATTCCATAAACAAAAGTGAAGTAGGAGAAAAGGGGGCTGGAGAGTGGACAGGGGCTTGCAGGGAGGCCTTCCCTGAGCTGACATGAAGGTGTGACCCAAGTACATCTTTGTAGAAAGAACGTCCAGGGGCAGTGGCCCCTGAGGTGGAGCAGGTCAGGGAACAGTGAAGAAGAGGGTCACAAATGCTTTCACTTGCAGGAACTTGGGAGCTCTTGGTTGTGACCTACAGTGTAAACATGGTTTGATTTGGCTTTAAGTGGAAGCATTCTGTCTGTTGCATTGGAAATAGACTGCAGTAGTTGAGGAGCAGATGCAGAGGAAGTCTTGTAAGAGATTATCGCCATCATCTTCTTGGTGATTGTTAGCCCAGGGTTGTAGCAGTGGACTAGTTAGTAGGGATGATAGCTGGATTGGTTATGTGATGTGGGAAACAGTCAGAGATGACAGTGAGTTTGTTTTTTCATTTAGAATTTTATGAGGTTTCTAAAGAAGTATAAATAAATAGAAAAGAGGTTCAGAAAACTAAGACATTTTGGGAGAGTTTGGAATCTTGGAAACAAATGAAGAAAATGTCTTAAATAGGAGTGATTATATTTTCGAAATGTTGATGCTTTTTTTTTTAATGAAGGTTTTTAAATTTGTATTTGAGAGGCCTAAAGCCTAAACAAAGAAGAGAAAGATCTCCCATCTGCTTGCTGGTTCACTGTCAAGGACAGCCAAACTGTTTGTTTATTTATTTGGGAAGGCCGATATGAGAAGGAGAGACAGAGAGGAAGATCTGTCCTGTGATTCACTCCCCAAGTGACTGCAATGGACGGAGCTGAGCCAGTCCGAAGCCAGGAGCCAGGAGTTTGTTTTAGGTCTCACACACAGGTCTAGGGTCCCAAGGCTTTGGTCCTTGACTGCTTTCCCAGGCCACAAGCAGGGAGCTGGATGGGAAGTGGAGCTGCTGGGATTAGAACTGGTGCCCATATGGGATCCCGGCCTGTTTAAGACAAGGACTTTAGCTGCTAGGCCATTGCACGGGGCCCAGATTTGACATTTTGTTTATTTCCTGCTAAAAATCTGTTACTCTTCACCCAGAGTAATGAGCTTGCTACTGGACTAGGTGTTGGGTGGAGGAAACTTCCTGTGGGTGTCCTGCTGTGCTGTGCTCAGTGCTTGTCTGCTGTGCCCACACAGTGTCCACAGAGTGAACTGGATGCTGAAACCGTGAAGAGCATTCTAGCTGAGTACAAGATCCACAACGCCGATGTGACCCTGCGCAGTGATGCCACGGCGGATGACCTCATCGACGTGGTGGAAGGAAACAGGTGTGTGAGCTCACTGATCTTGGGCCGTCCTTGACTGCTACCCTGGGCCATAAGCAGAGAGTTGGATGGGAAGCGGGCTGCTAGCATTAGAACTGGCACCCATATGGGATCCCGGTGTGTGCAAGGTGAGGACTTCAGCCGCCAGGCTACCTCACCAAGCCCTGTCCTGTACAATTTCTTTGCAGAAATTTCTGAGAGGTAAATTCTCTTGCCCCAGGGTATAGGTGTAGAAAATGAGAGTTGGGATTTTTTTTTTAAGATATACTTAATTTTTTGGTGGAAAGTGAGATTTACAGAGAGGACAGAAAGATCTTCCATCCGCTGGTTCACTCTCCAAGTGGCCACAATGGACAGAGCTGAGCTGATCTGAAGCCAGGAGCCTCCTCTGGATCTCCCATACCAGTACAGGGTCCCAAGGCCTTGGCAATCCTCAACTGCCTTCCCAGGCCTCAAGCAGGGAGGTGGAAGGCAAGTGGAGCAGCTGGGATACAAACCGGCGCCCTTATGGGATGCTGGATTGCACCGGGTGCATCCCAGATATTTGAAATATCGTCTAGCAGGTAGCTGGATGCATTTGTGACATAGCTAGTAAAGCCACCTCCTATATGTATGCTGATTCCTATCCTAGCTGACCCTCTAATCATCAGTCTCTGTTCTGTTGCCCCTGGGAAAGCAGCAGAAGGTGACCGAAGTCTTGGATCCTGTTACCCACATGGTAGACCTGGATGGAGTTTTGGCTCCTGGCTTCTGCCATTGCAACCATTTGGGGAGTGAACCAGCAGATAGAAGATCTTTATCTTTCCCTCTCTCTTTGTAACCTTGCCTTTCAAGTAAATCATCGGCTTGACCGGTTGCACAATAACACAGGCCTCAGTTTACTTTCCAAATGTCCACAAAAGCCAGATCTTGACCAGGCGGAAGTTGAGAGCCAGGCAGTCTTTAGTCCTTCCTAGTCTTGCATGGGTGTCAGGGCTTCCGAGTTGGGCCATCTTGCGCTGCCTTCCCAAGTGCATTTGCAGGAAGCTGTGTCTGAGCAGAGCATGGCAACCAGGACTCACACTGACCCTGAGATCTATGTGGGAAGCTGCTGTTGCAAGTGGTAACTTAACCCCCTGTGCCACGGTGCTGGAAGGGCCCAAGTTAGGAAAGCTGTTTTTTTCTAGCGGTGTTGCTGATTTGTGGCCTGCGTTCCCTCCCTGTTGAGAGCCTGATTGGGGGTCCTGGGAGAAGGGGGTGCTCCTGAGACTGACAGTTTTGTTAGCAGCTGCAAGCCAGTGCCCTCTGTTTCTTCTTAGAGTTTACATCCCTTGTATCTACGTTTTGAATAAGATTGATCAGATCTCCATTGAGGAACTGGATATCATCTACAAGGTGCCTCACTGTGTCCCCATCTCTGCCCATCACCGCTGGAACTTTGATGACCTGTTGGAAAAGATCTGGGACTATCTGAAACTAGTGAGGATGTAAGTCCTTGTGTGGGGTCAAGTTACCGGGAGAAGAAAATCTGATTGTTAAAATGATATCCTCGGGCAATTGTTAACAAGATCTTTTGCGATTTAAGTAAGTTGTTTCATTCTACAAAGTCATATGAGGTCACGCTTCCTCAGTTTGGAAGTTACCCTGGGTGATGGCAGAGGTGCTGGAGGGTTGGTTCATGCCCAACCTGTGCCACATTTTGAGTGGGTGCAACCCTCATCTCCCTCTCTTGCAGCTACACCAAACCCAAAGGCCAGTTACCGGATTACACGTCCCCGGTGGTGCTGCCGTACTCCAGGACCACGGTGGAGGATTTCTGCATGAAGATTCACAAGAATCTCATCAAAGAGTTTAAATAGTAAGTGTCGGGGCTCTTTTGTGCCTTCTGTGCCTTGTGAGTAACTGAGGTGTTTTTTTTTTTTTTTTTTTATGATCTTTACATAGTTGATTTGGGCACAAAGGGTCAAGGGCTATATGAAAGTGGGTAGGACCATTGTATCCACATTCTCTTTTTTTCCTTCCTGTATTTGGGGGAAGGGGGGAGGTAAAAGGAGAAGCCACATCCAGCCTCCCATTTATCCCTGGGTCCCTGGTGTGGGGCATGCTCTGAGGGCTCTGCCCATTTGGTTTCATAGTTTAGCAGTTCTGAATTGCTGCCAGTCTCACCACTCCAAACATGGTGAAATTTCTCCAGAATCCACTGGCTGACAGTCCAACTTAGAGTCTTTGTGTGCTCAAATTTTCACTGCTAACACTTGGCTAGGGTAGCTGATCAATTTGTTCTGTCCTTTGTCATGGTACCTAGTGCCCTTTGTGGGCTCTGATGTGCTGCCATATCTTCCATGTGTGCCTGGATATGCTGTCCACTGTGAGTTCGTCTTGGGGTTTATGTCAGAGACCAGGAGGAGGCAGCTGTGTGCGGGGGGGCTTGCGTGGCTGAGACCCAGCTGGTTCTTGTGGCACCTTGTCATCAGAGCAGGCAGGGCTCTTGGGGGTTAGAGAGCCCCCCGAATTTCCACCACTAGTTCATCTGTGCAGCAAACACAAATAGGAACCCCTGCCAGGGTTCTACTGACCTCCACGGGGCACAGCCTCCAAAATGTAAGCTTTGGACAAACTCCTTGAGAGGCTGAACATTTTTAAGATTTTTTAAAAAAACCATTTCAGTTTACAGAAAAGTGGCAATAAGTAAATAAGTAAAACAAGAATTCACTGTTATCCCCATCATTCCAGTTTGTGTAACAGTAATAGCTCTCATTAGAATGTTACAGTGATCCAGAACAGGAAATGTTCTGTGGCGTTATATTCTGTTACTATCAGTTCTTACTTGAATGCTATACTGTTTCTGCCAGTTCCTTGTCTGTGTTCCAGGAACATACATGGCCTGTAGTTGTTAGCCTTCCAGTTCTTGTCTCCAACAGATAGTTCATTAGACTGTCACTTTTTGTGATGACCCTGATGCTTTCATTTTATTATTTTTAAAGGGTTTTTTTTTTCCAGAACTTTTTTTTTTTGCTAAGGCAAAATTTCTTCTGTTTTCTGGTTTACTTCCCAAGTGGTTGCAATGGCTGGAGCTGAGCCAATAGGAAGCCAGGAGCTTCTTCTGGGTCTCCCCCGTGGGTGCAGGGTCCCAAGGCTTTGGGCCGTCCTCTATTGCTTTCCCAGGCCACAAGCAGGGAGCTGGATGGGAAGTGGAGCTGCTGCGATATGAAACAGTGCTTATATGGGATCCTGGTGCATGCAAGGCAAGGCCTTTAGTTGCTAGGCTGCCATACCGGGCCCTTTTGGTGTTCTTTTTGATAGTTTTGAAAGAATTTCTTCCTTTTATTTCTTTAATTAATACTTGTGATATTTGGTCTACTTCTGTCCAAACAAACAAAAAAAAAACTGCGTTATTTTGCAAAAAGGCTGATTATTTACATTTGTGAAATTATCACCTTGCACTTAAATATATTCATTTGTTACAGTATTTGAAAATGTTCATTGGAACTGTTTTCAGTGGAGGCTTCTCTCCTTCTGACCCAGCTTCCTGCTACTGTGGGCAGCAGGTAGTGGCCCATGTCCTTAGACCCGTCTCCCATGGGCTCAAGTCTGGCTCAGTTGGCGGCCATTTAGGCATTAAACCAGTGGATGGAAGATTTCTGTTTCTCCCCTGTTTGTATCTCTGCCTTTCAAATAAATAAATAAATCTTTAATAATGTATTAATTTATATTTGTTCCTGATATGTGTTTTAATTTGTATTTGTTCTTGATATCTTGATTTCCAATTGGACTATGCGATTGCAAAGTAGTGCAGTGGTAATGTGATGACAATCTGGCCACGTTGTCTTTTTTTTTTTTTTTTATTGTATTATGTGACACAGTTCAATATAGGCACTGGGATTCCCCCCACCCCTCTCCCAACCCTCCCCCCCATGGTGGGTTCCTCCCTCCTGTTGCACAACCACAGTTCAGGTTTAGTTGAGATTCCTTCATTGCAAGCATACACCAAGCATAGAGTCCAGCATCTCATTGTCCGGTCAAGTTCAGCGGCTTCCTGGGGAGACCCTCCCCGGTCCGAAGGCAGAGCCAACAGAGTAGAATCCTGGTCAATTAAAAGCCCCAACATAACATCAGCAACAATATATAACGTTAACGGATAAATTGACAAAGTATTGAGCAACCGATTTGTCAAAATTGGATGCATGGTCTTAACAACTTCCTGTGACTATTTCAATGACATTTCAACAATTGAGGTGCAAAACAGTTTTAGGAAGGGTGTGCAGAGAAATCTTCCATACCTTGGTGAGGAGTACTTAATCCCCGTGTCCTACCTAGTAAGGTGTGTGTGAGTCCATGCTGACCAAGCCTTCCTTGTTCTTTGCCTATCCTTTCCAGTTTGTGAGTGTGTGTGTGTGTGTGTGTGTGTGTGCGCGTGCGTGTGTGTATTGCGGGGGTGCTCTGGAGCGTCCCTCATGGTCATTGCAAAGAGGGTGGGGACCCGAAGTTGGAGCTAAGTAAGAACCAGAGATAGCTCCTCTCCCTAGTCCTGAAGGGAGTTTACTGTTCTTCTGTTTCTGAAGACCGCTTAGGTTTCCTGATTGTTGTTCCGATGGCCTTGGATCCTATGATGAAGGATTCAGCTTCTTCCATCCCGTGTGGTAGGTCCAAAGGCAGGGGAGGGGATGTCCTCTGAGTTCTCGGCCTCCGAAGGCATTTCAGTCCCCCGTGGTCTCTTTGGCAGTTGGGATGTGGTCCTTGGCGCCGGTATTGACAGCCCTTGGTGGGGATCCGGGAGAATCCAGGTTTGGGATACAAGCCTCCTCCTGTCTACCTGCTCCACTCTGTGGTCCCCCAATGCTCTGTGCACATGACGTCCTGTTAATAGGTTGTCAGGGTCACTCTTGATTCCCCCTATATATCTTTGTAGTTTTACTGTTGTCTAATGTTGTCTTGAATCTATTGTCTACAAGTTACCTGTTATGTGCCTGAGAGGTTACACTACACAGCTTCCTCACACATTCACAGGAGATGGAAGGTTTCTTTGCTCTCCTGCCCCATTTCTGAGTAGTAAAAGGTTTTGAAAATATATTTGGTTATACAATTTTAAAAACACATGGGTTGAGGCCAAATTAGGCAGAGGTCCATTGGGGGAGATTTACATCATTGGGAATCTTTAGGGTTGATTCATGTACCCAAAGCCCTGAGGGTTCATCATGGAGCTTTCTAAGCAGCAATCATAGAAACCAAATCCCAGAGCTCCTTGGCCTGTGGGTGGTAGGCAGAGCCTACCGCCAAATGGCGTACTGGCCACCCGATACCGGCTCCAGATGCGCATGGTAGTGGCCGCATGCAATCCAGGCATGGGACGCTACTTGTCCCGGGGCCTTCCAGCCCCATCACGTTGTCTTTTTGCACCTTGTTATATAGATCTTCAGCTGTGGGTGGCAGGTCAGTGTTTCACTGACAGCTTTCCATCACAGAACATATTGTTCATTTTGGAGTCCTGTGGATGTAAATTACCATCATATCTTTTAAGAATTCAGGAAGGTTTATCAGTTCTGTTTGCTGATGGGAGGGAGGTTTTTCCTCACATGGGAGATATTGTCAGCACCCACTGATGCTTCAGTAGACCCACCAATTACAGGTCTTCCCAGCTGTATGACGGACGCTCAGTAACGCCACCAAGCAATCTCAGTCTGGATTTTTCAAGATACTTCTCAGTAATAGTTCCATGCTTTGGATTTCATAAATCCTTTAAATTTCAAACTAGTCTCTTCCCATTACCTCTGACTTTGCTAAATGAACTGACGAAAACCATGGAAGTTCTATAAAGTCACTGTGACCTTGTGTGCTGGCCAAGAGCAGCCTGGAGTGCAGCCTGGGCTGGGGAGAGGGCATTCAGCTTTTACAGTTCCATGTCTCCTGGAGCTGGGCTGCCCAATGAGCAGGGCCCAGGCACTGACTACTCTTCTTTCCCTCCCGTACAGCGCGCTGGTCTGGGGACTCTCTGTGAAGCACAATCCTCAGAAAGTGGGCAAAGACCATACGTTGGAGGATGAGGATGTCATTCAGATTGTGAAGAAGTGAAACCTTTCCTTCCCCTATCTACTGAGATGGCCACGACAGCCCTCGCCACGAGCACACCGCCTTGTTCCAGCCCCTGGTGGCACTGGGAGTTGCCACTGGATTGATTAGGACTTGGGAGGGAGGTGAAGGCTCCCAAACTACCTTCACTGGTCTTCTCCTGGTGTCACTTCGTATGTTGAACGGCATAAAAGATCTAGCAGGCCTGTTGGCCTCTTGCAATTGATGTGTCATAAGCAGAATTTGTTGTGGCATGAGCTGAATGAGGAAGAGTATGGACAGTGAGGCACATGCTAGAGGGATACTTGGTAATTTGGTCTCGAATGTAAAGTGACTGAAAGTATGACTTGCAGTATCTTAGTGGATGTTTATTTTCTGAAGATTTATTTACTTGAAAATTAAGAATTAAGAGAGCTTCCATCAGCTGGTTCACTCCCCAAGTGGCTGTGATGGCCATTACTGGGTTGGGCTGGCCAGAAGCCAGGAGATTCTTCTGAGTCTTCCATGTGGTTAACAGGGGCCTAAACACTTGACATATTTTCCACTGCTTTTCCCAGGCCAGTAGCAGGGAGATGGATTGTCAGTGGAGCAGCTGGTGCCATCCAGGATGCCAGCGTCTAGGCAGCAGCCTACAACTGCACCCCTTTAGCTGATGTTACCGGTGGGAGACCCTCTCAACTGGAAGTGGATTTCAGTCCTTTCTCACAGAGTACTGGAGAAAAAGGACTTGATGTAAGTAACTGATTGTTCCCTATGAAGCTTGGGGGATGTTGTGGCAGGGCATATTGCTCTCCTTAGGCCAGTGGAGGCTAGATTGCTGATCTGCCTCTAGTAAGCAGTGGAACCATGAAGTTACTCAGCCTGTCTGAGCCTTAGTTTCCTAAGTCACATGGGGGATAATAGTAGCATGCTGTCCTAGTGTAGTGATTGTTAGTACCGAGGGAGATGGTACTTGTGAATTGCTTAGCACAGTATGTGGCATGTAAGTACTCAGTGAACATGGGCTCTCGCAGAGCAGCTGTCTCTCAGCAAGACAGAGCTGACCATGTTAGGAGGTGGGCCACTAAACAGCCCCTTCCATAGCTCAGCCTTTCACCCTGAACCCCCTTTGGACAGTTCTGGCCTCAACCACGTCACCAAGGGAAAGGCAGGCGAGGCAGGAGGTGTGATCTGAGCAGGCTGTATGTGTGGGCGTTGGTACTATCTGTGAGGGTGCTTTAGGGAACTTTTAAGGGGATTGTTCTGATTGTGTGACACTCGTTGGCAAAAGTCTTGGGTCAAGGATATGGGCATGCGAGAAATCTGAACTTCTTCTGAACACTTTGAGCATGGAGTGTATATAGGGCTGACAGAACAGTCCCTGAGAAAAATCAGGAAGCGAACAGTTGTGCATTTGGTTCTGTCTGCAGATGAGGGGAGCTAGGGTCTCCAGCAGAGTGTGAAGGTCAGGGTGTAACATGACTCAAACATCCTCCCTCAGTCCTTGTTCCTTTTGTGGACAGACCCCAGGCCCAGGAGATGAGCCCTTCAAGCCTGGTGTCCCAGTTACTTTTCAGAATGTAGAACTTGATGTGATGGGTGTATTCCTGACAGAGACCATGACCTTGAACCTACTGCCACCCTTCACAGGAATAGGGAGGCCGTTGGCTCTAAGCCACAGGACTTTCAGGTAGGTTTGTCCAGTCAGAGCTTGCTGGGTAAACAAACAGCCCTGCCAGGATGTGGGAGCAAGGAGGCTGCGACATCTAGTTCATCGAAGACTTTGGGATGTGCCTTGAAAAATTCTATTTAACCTAGTAGTGAGCGAGCACATCTGATTCCCTCTGCTTATGCCTCCAGTGGTTGGGCTTGGTCAGGCTGAAGCTGGAAGCTGGGAACTCAGCTCGGGTCTTGGTGAGTGGCAGGGCCCCCACTCCCTGAGCTGCCACACTGCCTGCTAGGGTGTGTATCAGCAGCAAGCTGGAGCACTTCCCAGAACCCAGTCTATGACACAGACATCCCAAGTGGCACCAACTGCCCATCCTGCATGTCCTCATCTTTAAAACAATGGATTCATTTGGACAGCAGAGGGATCAGGGTGGGAGACACACAGATGTCTAGAGACAGATATTCTTTCTGCAGCCAGATTGGACAGCATAAAGCCAGGAGTCCAGAATGCCATGTAGGAGGCCGAGGCCCAAATGTTTGGGGCCATCATTGGCTGCCTTCCCGGGTGAACTGATGAGATTGGGTCAGAAGGAGCCCAGGACATCAGTCAGCACTCAGGTATGAGAAGCAGGCACCACACAGGGCAGATTGACTTGTCGTGTCATGACTCTTTAGGAGTTTATCCCTGAAATTCTTCAGGGGTTTTGACTTCCCTCTTAGCAGCATAACGTCTAAGGCAGCTTTACAGAGAAGAGACACAGAGATCTTCCATCTGTTAGTTCATTGCCCAAATGGCTGCAAAGGCTGGAGCTGAGCCGTTCCCAAGCCATGAGCTTCTTCTGGGTCTTCCATGTGGGTGCAGGGCCTAAGCACATTGACTACTTTTGCTGCTGGGACTTGAACTGGCACCCATAAGGGATACTGGTGCCAGAGGTGGAGGTGTGACCTGCTATGTCGCAGTGCCAGCCCCTGTAACATGGGTATTCCCTAGAGTAGGGCCAGGCTTCACTCTGTATTACACCTGCTTCTTCCGGATTACTACTTATCTCTTAAGCACTTCCTCTGGAAGTTCAGCTGCTTCCTTACCAGTTTTCCATGAGGTTCTTAGCTGTCTGTCTATCTTTCATCCTATGGTTCCCTCCTGAGATGGTTGTGATGGCAGGGGCTGGGCCAGGTATAAGCCAGGGTTCCATCAAGGTCTCCCATGGGTGCAAGGACTTAAATACTTGAAGCCATGCTCTGTACATTAGGGATTTGGATCAGAAGTGGAACAGCAGCCAGCATTCCAACTGGCACTCAAGGATGCTGAGATGGGTCCTTATTAACTTTTTTAAGATTTACTTTTTTTTTTATTGGAATGTCAGACATAAAGAGGAGGAGAGATAGCAGGATCTTCTGTCTGCTGATTCACTCTAAGTGGCTGCAATGACCAGAGGTAAGCTGATCTGAAGCCAGGAACCAGGAGCCTCTTCTGGGTCTCCCATGCGAGTGCATGGTCGCCAAGGCTTTGGGCTGTCCTCAACTGCTTTCCCAGGCCACAAGCAGGGAGCTGGATGGGAAGTGGGGCTGTCAGGATTAGAACCGGTGCCCATATGGGATTCCAGCGCATGCAAGGCGAGGACTTTAGTTGCTAGGTTACTGTGCTGGACCCTTGATTCTTGCTTCATATACCCTTCAGTCCTGTTTGAGTTCAGCTGTTGCCTTCCAGAAACCCTAAAATGGTGAAAACATTTCTTCTCTGCACTCACCTTGCATTTGGCTGTTAGCTCTCGATTGTAACTACGCATTTTGCCTTTCTTTCCCTTCCTTCAATCTGTGGTGTAGAACAAATTTCATCAAAACCTGTGTATCTGGGGTGCTGTGGTATAGCACAATAAAGCGCCACCTGTGGTGCCAGGATTCTATATGGTGCTGGTTTGAGTCCTGACAGCTCTATACGCCCTGCTTATGCCTGGGAGGGCAGTGGAGGATGGCTGAAGTCCTTGGGCCCCTGCACCCACATGGGGTCCTGAAGAGGCTGCAGGCCTCAGCTCAGCTCACCTCTGGCATCACAGCCATTTGGGGAGTGAACCAGCGGATCAAAGAGCTTTCCAAATAAAAACCAGAAACTTAACATCTGGCAGCACAGCCTTATTTCCTTTTGGCTGTCTTCCTTTTGCTTGGAACCTACATTTGTTCATTTTTGTACCACCAGTTTCTAACCTCAGAGAAAAGCAGGAATGACAGAATCAGAGCACAAGAAGGCAGGTAAGGCAGGCATGGCCTGAGTGGGGAGTTGGCCGCGGGGAGGGGGGTGGGGGTGGTGGTGTGCAGGGGTGCAGCTGCTGCTGCTCAGCCGTCAGGGCTCAGTCCAGGGGAGATAAACAGAGCAGTGCCACTCATTTCATCCACACACTTGCATATGCAACTTTAATCAACCAAAAGAAAAAAGTCCCAAATGTACAAGTGAAAAAAATCCAAACTGTTGACACAGGCTTAACTAATATCAGCTACTTTTATGTACAGCTGTATAAGTTCAAAAAAGCTATCCTATATGTATATACAAGTTTATACACAGGTCTGTACATAAGGGTCTATACATTAATTTCCTCAAACCCTTAGGTGCCACCTCTTGGTGAAGACACCAACACTTCATTCACATATTTTACAAAAGAAAGACTTTCCAGGATCAACAACAGTGCACCCTGTGCTCAGTCACGCAGGCCCCACTCGATGGGGTGAGATCCATCTGTCAGTGCAGACCACACGGTGCGTGCCCCCCTGCAGCTTTGCACAAAGTGCTCCAAAGTAAAAAAAAAAAACCCCTGAACCAACCCGAGTCGAGGCAGCCATGTCCCAACAGGGTGTGCCTGAGTGCAGGCATGGGGAATGCTGCTCACTGCCGGTACTCCAGCTCGTCCACGCTGATGACCTTGGTGGGCATGGAGGGCAGGGGCTGCTGGAGCACATCGGAACCAAACCATTTGGCGAGGCCCACGGGGGAGTTGCTCCTTTGGGTGGGGCGGGTCTCCAGTGGGGGGTGGGTGTGGGGCAGGCTGGAGCGGCTGGGCACACTCTGAGGGGTCGTCTGGGCGGTGACAGCTGCTGCCTGGGAACCAGAGCCTGGAGGATGCAGAACTGTGGAGACACAACAGGGCATCACCTGAGCAGGAGGATGGAAGGGGCTCCCCACTGGGCTCCAAAAAGCAGTCCTCTTCTCCCGAGGACTATGAGAAAACTACTTTAAAACATGATGAGACCTTGGGAGGCTGCGTACCGAGGGGCAGTAGTGCTGGCTGGTGAGAGGTCAGCTGTCCTGGGCAGGCCTGCTGGCTGCTCTGCCTCCTCTCCCAAGGACTTCTCTCGGGTAGTTAGGGTTAGTAGTTTATCTCCACTGAAAGCATCCTAAATGCCTCAGGCCCACCTACCTGAGCGCTGCAGCTGCTGCTGCATCATGGCCAGATGCAGAGGTGTCCCGGGCCGCGGGTTTAGCAGCGGGTGACTAGCAGCAGGTAAAGGGTAGAAGGGCTGGCCCAGGATGGGGCCCGAGATGCCCTGCAGATGAGTCAGGTCCATCCCAGGAGGAAGCACACCTATGGGACAGAAATGGACTCAGCAGCAGTCTTTCAAGTTTCTAGGAAGTTTGGAGCTTGTCTCATGCTCCCTTGATGTGGAAAGTAAATGCAGAATGCTCACTCCTAATCTCTTAGCTGGAACCCTCTGCCCACCTGTCAAATGTCAGGATCCCTCCGAAGGGCGAGTCCCTCCCCAGCACAGCCCTTGCCCCAGGTCTCCTGACCGACCCAGCAACTCACCAGCTTGCAGCAGACTTGGGAGGTGTTGTGGAGGTACTCCTTGGGCCAGCATCCTTTGGACCAGCCCTGGGTGAAGCTGATGAGCAGGTCGGACAATAGGGACGTGGGGGACAAGGGGGACTTGATGGACAGGGCGGAGGAAAGGAGCGCCTGGAACTGGTGATGCCAGGGTGGGGGTTTTTCTGCCTGTGGCTTTAGGTCGGTAATCCTGTTCTTTGGTGTAACGGCTGGCCTGGGACAGAGGGGTGGAGCATGAGGGCCGCTGTAGCGTTGACAGTTTGGGGTTTCTAGTGGGAGAGGCGTCTCTGTCGGCACTGGGTAGTGAACTGGACGACAGGAGGTTCTCTGTAAGGATGTAGATGGGACATTTTAGGGTTGGCAAACCTGCCAAGATGCTGTGGCCTCCCAAGGATCCAGCCAGAGTTCTGACAAGGCTCCAGCTGCTGCTCAGTATGTTTAGAGAATTGCAGGCTAGTGGCCATCATTTGCCTTACAAACAGGACATCAGGGTCACAAAGGCAGTTAGGGATACAGCTTGGGCAAAGTGCAGCTCTTATAAAACCAAGGTTGGTAATGCTACAAAAGACAGTCCAGCACTAAGTGCCTGGCCTGTCAGGCTGCCAATGGCTGCAGCCTCCCGTCTATGCTGGCCACTCTAGTCAGCTTTTTGGCTTTAATCTTCTTAGCCTAAGGGGAAAAGTGTCAAATTACCCATTACCACAGAAAACTGAAGCACATACTGAACTGCTTCAACAGGATTTCCTTTCCTTCTAATAAGCCTAAAGACTAGACCAGTGGGCTGGCAGGGTGGTTAAGTGAGCTGTTGTTCTGCCTGCAGCATTGGTATCCCATATGGGCACCAGTTTGTGTCCAGGCTGCTCAATTTCCCATTCAGCTCCCCGATTGTGGTCTGGGAAAGCAGCAGAGGATGGCCCAAAGCCTTGGGACCTTGCATCCGTGTGGGAGACCCAGAAGAGGCTCCTGGCTTTGGTTCAGCTCAGCTCCAGCCATCTGAGGAGTGAACCAGCACATGGAAGATAATCTGACTTCTGAAATTTGCCTCTCAAAGAAATCTTTAAAAGACTGGGCAAATCATATTTGCAAATCAAATGTATGATTTTTTTGCAGCTGGAGCCTAAAATAAAGCTCCTTGTCTGATCCAGTCCTCTCACTGACACAGAATTGTGGTTGGAGTGACCTGGGTCTTGCCCAGGGATTTGCAGCAGCTCCGGGCAGGCTGGTGAGCGCTCATGTGCTGGCCCTCTGCCGACACCCTGGCAGCAGTGCCCCCACACAGCTTAGCTTCACGGTACCTTCACTGGCCTTGGGAGCGTCTTCCGTCCTATCGCTTGGAGCTGCTTTCCCAGAGGCAGGCTCCTCCTTGGTTTTCTCTTTGCTCTCATACATCTTTCGGATCACTGAGGTAGGGGTGAAGGAAGGAGAAAGCTGCAAAGACAAACACCTGGTATGAGCTCCGCCTCTCGGTACATCCCCTGTTGTCGAGCCAGATCACCAGCCACACCACGCAGCGAGGTGAGACGGCCCCATGCGGCCCTGTGCTGGTCCGCTGGGTCCCTGGCAGTTCTGGGTGCTGCTCTGTAGATGCTGCAGAAAAGGTGAACACACAGTGCCATGAGCACGTTACTCCTTGCTCCCAACTTGCTTTCATTAAAGCCTGGAGCTTCAGCCGCCCCAGGTGTGTGGTGACACCTGCAGGGCACGCTCAGCCCCTCAAGAGGAACAGCAGCCCTTTGCAGCCAACCTGCCCCAGACCCCTAACCTGTCCACTTTTTTTCTCTGCTATCCGAAAATTCACAGTTCCTTTTTTAGTCTCGGGTTTACCCGAGGTCCTCTGTTCGTTTCTCCTTTGCTGATTTTATTAAGCCTGCATTGGTTCTTCCTAAACCTTAAGTCCTATGATCAGGTCAGCTTTTACCACACGCTGTTGAAGTAAGGCACAAAGACCCAAGTGGGGTCAAGTAGCTCTTCCTTTGTCAACTCTGTGACAGGAGACATGCAGGGAATGGGGCCTTCTGAAATGTTAGTTGTGAGACACTAGGTGTGCCACCACACATGAGCAAATTCCTTTGTCCAGGCAGCAGTTCCCTCTCGGGACAGCTGGACATTAAGTCGGAGTGCTTTACGGTGCCTGCCTCAGGACCCACCCCACCCCAGTCTCACCGTGAGCTCCTCCCGCCTCCCCACGCAGCTGTCCTGGCCGTGTGTGCTCTGGCCCAGTTTTCTCTATCCATGGGAAATGCTTTCCTCAATATAGAAAAGCTGAGATAGGCAGCTAGGAAGGTGTGTGTGAGATTTTCAGAAAATTCCAAGTAAGTGTGGATCAAAAAATGGCTAATGCAGGTTGAGCATTCTTTTGCACCAAAGTAAAAGTGTCTCCAAAAAAATTAAACCCAACACATTTTTTGTTGTTTCATCTGAGAGGAGACCTGGCTTCTTCTCCACCTCCTGGGGCCAGCCAGAGCTGGGCTAGGAGGCAGGGACTCAGCCCGGGACTCCCCTGGGGCCTGTGCCAGCAGAAGCTGCAGCCAAGAGCCCGTGCCAGGAACCCAATCCAGGCACTCCAGTGCCAGATGTGAGCGTCTTAACCGGGGTCCTCACCCAGTCAGCCAGACGCCTGCCCCTGTACTGGGATTCTGTTTCTCATGAACTTTCTGAAGCACTCTCAGATGAGATGAGGGTTTCTGTGGCCGGCACAGAAGGCTGCTGAGGGAAGTGCACTAGTATGACGCAGAGCCCAACCCGGAGAAGCCTCCGAGTCATTCCTGGTCCCCAAGGTCACTGACCATGCTCGTGATGGAGGCAGCGGGTGCGGGGGATGAGGCGTTTCCCCGGTGCACAGGTGCTGGTGACTTGGCCACTCGTTGTTGCCTGTGAACAAACCAAGGACCCAGGTGAGACCGCACAGTAGTCAGGGCTGATTGACTCCCCAAGTGACCATGATAGCTAGAGCTGAGCTGATCCAAAACCAGGAGCCAGGAGCCTCTTCGGGTCTCCCACACAGGTGCAGAGTCCCAAGGCTCTGGGCCATTCTTGCCTGCTTTCCCAGGCCACAAGCAGGGAGCTGGATGGGAAGTGGGGCTGCCGGGATTAGAACCAGTGCTCATATAGGATCCTGGCACGTGCGAGACGAGGCCTTTAGCCACTAGGCTACCATGCCAAGCCCTGAACTTTAAAAACTAAGTTCCTAAATTAGTAAAGCGAAATTATTTACTGCCATCTACCTTACAGGGCTCTGCAACAGCACATAAGGTCTTGCATGGTAACAGTGCTTTTAACTACGAAACACTGAAGAGAGGAAAGCCAGCAGGGGGCGTGGCACGCCGGGTAGGGTGGACAACTTACCTGTTTCTGAATCCATCCCTGGTTCTGTCCGCCTGCAGCTTGCCAAAACCAGGCTGGTAGAAGCTTGCTGCCTGTACAGCAAGTTCGTGTGGCAAGGCCAGCCCCTCCAAAGCTGACTGCTGCAACTCTAGCTGGCTCATCTGCAGAACCAAGGGGCGAGTGGGGGAGAGGGGGTCAGCTCGGGAGCGACTATGGTCAGCACACTTTCGGGGAAGGTTTCTTGCCCCACCCCCCGCCAGCTTTGTGCTTTCAAGCAACGACTGAGCAAAACAGGGCAAACCTGATTACACGTTCCTGTCACCCACTGAACAGGATTCTAAGTATTACTTCTATTCAGCAGTTTCCTACTTTCTTCTTGTTGAGCCTCACCCACTTCCAAGCACTGCTGCAGCTCGCTTCCCCATCCCATCAGTGACAACGGGGGCAGGGAGGAGCATGGGCTGACCTGGGCCGTGACTGGGCTCATGGGCTTGCGAATGCCTTGGAAGGGGTCTCCAAGCAGCTGCTGTGGTCCTGGCGTGAAACCTGTCGGGCAAGTGAGAGTGGGACTGACGGCTCCGAAGGCACAGCACTGGAGGGTGCAGCTGCTGGCACACTGCCCCTCTTCCAGGAAGCACCCACTCCCCCATACCCCTATGGGCTGTGTGGGTGCTGACCAGCGGTTCTCGGTGTGAACTTCTGGTGTAGCCACCTGCTCTGCTGTCAGTTTGGTCAGTTTTGGAGCTCTGGACAAGAACTTTGGAACTCTGGACAAGCTCTGCAGGAATGTGGCCATTACCACTAAGCCAGCCAGTGCCATGGCAGAGCCCAGGACTCCCAAGGCCTGCCCACCCTCATGGCATCTAGTGATGCCTCTGAAGGTGTGGCTGGCAGGGCCAGAATGGCCAGCAGCGAGGACCGCAGTAACCCTAGGGATGCTGGCACACACTACCAGGAGAGCTCTCTCAAACAGCTGTCAGTTGTACTCTGAGCAAGTCCCACACCTCACACCTGATGGTCCAACATCAGCGTGGGATCCCGTGGCAAGGAAAGTCCACGAAGTCCAACTAACTGTTCTGGACTGAATTCCCTAAATAAGGAAGGAGGCCGAAAGGGCTGGAATCAACTGAGACTGATTTTACCTGCCCCCTTCTCCCTTGCTCAAACAGCATAATAAATAAATTCATGGCTTTCCAGGATGTCAAGGATGTGCATCAGAGACTGCCAGTACTGGGGCGCCTGGGAAGGAACCCTTACCGATGGGTGAGGGTATTCTTGGGCGCAGGTAGTCGGCGGAGGCTGCTCGAGTCTGAAACACTTGGGACAAGGGGGGTGAGGGCGCTCTCTGACCCAGCATCGAAGGCGCAGGCTCCAGGCTTCCCATGAGGCCACTCAGAAGATTGGAAGAAGCAGGTCTCTGCACTGGCTGACCCAGAAGTTCCTGCAGGTACAAGAGTCATATGCTCATGAATAACCTGCGGATTGTGGAGTCACTTTGGGAAGTCACGTGATGCCTCTCCCTCATGCGCCATGGAAGGACTGGGCAAGCATACATGCGATTGATCTATTCTCTTGAATACTCAGCTGGCAACATTTCCTTCACGTAAGTGCTACAAACACAGGTTAGATACTGCCAAGTTTTTACAGAACTTGCAAACCGGAAATCAAGGGCTTACTTGGTCATCTTTCTTTAACCACCCCGCTTCCTCCCTATGAGTGACAGCACTACAGAGCTGGGTCGGACAGCAGCGGTGTCCCCGTGCCTGCCAGGCCACACAGCTCATGCTCCATGGCCCAAGGTTGGACCACTACACAAAGCCAGGGCTGAGAGCTGCTGTGGAGGACTCCCAGGCCTCCGTGGGAGAGGGCAAAGTACCTGCAGGATGTTCTTAGGGACAGGCTGGCCTGGGATCTCAGCAGGGGACATCAAATGGCTCTCAAGGTTTCGCTAAAAAAAGTCAAAGGAAAACTGGTTTTAACCTTAACACATGTTACAGATTAATTGGGGACCCCAAGAAAGCATTAGACACTGACTAAGGGGGTTGGCCGGGAGAGCAGTCATGTTCAAGTCATGGAAAGCTAAGACCAACCGTTCCACTCTGCTACCACACAGGTCATGGAGCTCTAGGGTCGGAAGGATCCTTGCTAGGGACACATGAGGCCTACTCAGAGACCATCCCTGCACTGTCCCCGCCATTGCACTATTTCCAACACTGAATCCTAAAGGAGGAGAAATGGTGCAGTGGAGGTGTACTCACTGCGTGCAGATTAAACTTTTTTTTAAAACAAGATTTATTTATTGGAAAGGTAGATTTACAGGGAGAAAGAGTGACAGAGAGGATGATATTCCATCTGCTAGTTCATTCCCCAAGTGGCCACAGAGGCTGCAGCTGGGCTGATCAGAAGCCAGGAGCCATAAGTTTCTCCCAGGTCTCCCACATAGCTGCAGGGTCCCAAGACTTTAGGCCGTCCTTGACTGCTTTCTCAGGCCACAAGGAGGGAGCTGGATGGGAGCCTGGACTTGAACCAGTACTCACATGGGATGCCTGTGCCACAGGTAAAGGGCTTACCCTGCTAAGCCAAGGCACCAACCCCAACATTGTTTTAAGAAAAACTTATGAGTTGCTGTTGTGGTGCCACAGGTTAAGCTGCTGCCTGCAATGCTGGCATCCCATGTGAGTGCTAGTTTAAGTCCTGAGTGCTCTGCTACCATTCCAATGCACCTGTGAAAGCAGCACCTAATGGCTCAAATGTCCCTGCTAGCCACATGGGAGGCCAGGATGGAGTCCCTCGCTCCTGGAGGTCATTTGGAGAGTGAATCAAAAGACAGAGCTTTCTACTTTTCAAATAATCTTAAAACATAAAAATTACACACACATAAAAGAAACAGAAAACCCAGCTAAGATACAAGCTTGGTTAGTATGCTGCATTCCAGAAGAAAACTTTAAGCATTACTTTTTTTTCCCCCAAAGATTTATTTATTTTTATTGCAAAGTAAGATATATAGAGAGAAGAGGAGAGACAGAGAGGAAGATCTTCTGTCCGATGATTCACTCCCCAAGTGACTGCAACGGCCGGTGCTGTGCCAATCTGAAGCCAGGAGCCCAAATCCTCTTCCAAGTCTCCCACGTGGGTGCAGGGTCCCAAAGCCATTCTCTACTGCTTTCCCAGGCCATAAGCAGGGAGCTGGATGGGAAGTGGAACTGCCGGGATTAGAACCGGCACCCATATGGGATCCAGGTGCCTTCAAGGCAAGGACTTTAGCCACTAGGTCACAGCACAGGGCCCTAAACTTTACTTTTAAACAAAGTTGCTCTAAGTTGGATCAAAACTCAAACCCTTGGCTCTTTGTTCCCTCAGTGAGGCAGTCCTTATGTTTTACTTGCAATCCCTGCTGAGCTTCTGTGTAACCCAGTGCCTGTCAGGATTCTGACACACTTTCTCCAGTACACACCCCCTTCCACTAGATGGAGCTGTCATAGCCCAGAGCCAAGGCCTGGGGTGACAGTCCGAAGACAGGCAAGCATTTTATTGCTGGCTTTGGAACTGAGGCTAAATGCAGATGATTTTAACAGGCCATCTCCCCAAAAGTAATTTAATTTCAGTTAATACAAACAGGCAACTCTATGCCACACTGTACACTATACTTGTGGAAGATGGTCTTACAATTCAGTTTGAAATGGAGTTTACGCTGAACCAACACATTTTTACAGGAATGGTACAGTGTGATGGAACCCAACAGGTAAGGCCAATGAAACACACAGAAACTACACAGTAGCAATTAAAGGCACCGATCTTAGATCTATGATTTAACATGCAGAATATCTGGGGCAGACATCTGCTGTATTTATTTTGTTACTTTCCTTATTGCTTTCCTAGCTCAGGCTGGGATTTTGTCTTTCCTTAGTCACCTGCATTTTATCTTCCATTCCTTAATGCAACTATCTGAGGCTTATTCCCTCAGCTCAGATCTGTTCTACTTTAGAGCACTGAACTCCTAACAAACAGGGACCCTCACAACAGGATGAGCTGTGTTAACCGCTCCGGGATCAAACCTGGAATGAGATATTCAAGTGGCTGGATCCCCCGGCCCGTTTCTCCGTCACTCATGGCTGGGCAGCATCTAACTAGAAGAGCTGACTTGAGTGTGGTCAGCACTGCTCACCAAGACACAGAAGTGCTGACAGAGCAGAAGTCTCTTGCAATTAATGATGCGATTCTTTGCATGGAAATAACTAAAGGAGTAGACAAGCACTGCCATCTGAGTGGTGGCCAGCTGCAGAGACCTACATCTCCCCGGATACCTTTCCAACATAGTCCAAGGCCGGAAGTGACAGCACTGCTGTCTATGCAGCAGGCTGACGTCTCTGTGCCTTACAGATACACAGACAAGGAACGCTAAACGCCATCTGTTTTCTCTTGGAACAAGCATAATGTGTCGGCTTGCAACACCACAGGAGCTGTTCCACTTCTGATCCAGCTCCCTGCAGCAGAAGACGGCCAAGTATTTGTGTCCCTGCACCCAGTCTGGATGAAACACTTGACTTCAGCATGACCCAGCCGTGGCTGTTCTGGCTATGTGGTCAATGAACCAGTGAACAGAACATCTCAGCCTCTCATTCTCTGTCTTTCAAATAAATTTAGAAACAAACAAACAAACAAACAAAAAGGCTACTGGCGTTCACATCAGAGCTACCCTGAAGTCCTCTGACAAGGGGGTGAGGATTAAAAAAACCAGAAAATCCAGTTTGGTATATTCGCTATAATTTAGTAACCAGATGACATCTATATTTATGTTATTGAGCTTGACCCTGCTTCACATTAATCTGGACCAAGCATAGCAATACTGATAAGGCCATGGCTGAACTAGACTCTAAAAACTGTTATGACAACGATCAATGCATGCCGTATATCTGCGTTTATTGAAAAGCAACACCCTGTGCCCTGAGCTTCAAGTCCCCATTTAAAAACAAACTTGGAAGGGCCAGCAACACAGCACAATGAGTTACATCACAGCTTGCAACATCAGCATCCTGTACCAACGTGCCTGAAGTTGGTGGGGCACCTGCCACTGTGTGGGAGACATCGATGGAGTTCCTGGCTTCTGGCTACAGCATGGCCCAGCTCTGGCTGTCCTAGACACCATTTAAGTGAGTGAACAAGCAGATGGAAGATTTCTTTGTCTCTCCAATTCTGTCACTCTGCCTCTCAAATCACATAACTCTTAAACAAATGTTAAAAAAATAAAAAAGACTTCAAAAACAAACAAACCCCTCAGCTTTTCTGTGAATAAATTAACGGGATTCAAGTAGCTTCAGAAAAATCTACATTACAAATCAAGATTTGTAATCAAGATGCCTAAGCAAGGAAGCAGGTAATCCTGGATAGGTGCGAGGTATTAGAGGGTGTGTAAAGATTTTACTACAACATAGTAAGCTACAAAGTTTAAGTAGCTATATAACTTAAGTAGCTGAAAACTTCTCTGGAGTACATCCAAAAAGAATTTTTTTTAAAAGCAGCAACTTAATAAAGGCATGCAGGCACTGAAAAACATTTGATTTTACAGTCTTTCCACTGTCGCTCACAGACAGATAATTAACTACGGGCTGTGTTTTCCCTAGTCCTATGGTACCTTGATAACTAAGGGACACATGAAAGCAGGGACCAGATGATTACTAAATAAGTCCCCATTTATTCGAATACCTGTATAGAAAAACATTTATTTGGGGGTGAGAGGAGGGGGTGAAATGGAGGAGAAAAAGGAGAAAAAGCCTGGGCCTGTGCTAAATACTCACATTGACTTTGGGTTGTGAAGGCAGAGTCCCACTGGCTTTCATGGTGTTCACCAGCTTGTTGAAAGCAGTCATATCTCCGTCTTTCTTGAGCTGCCGATTGCTGGTTACGGCGCTCAGGGTCTCCTCCAGGTGCTCTGCCATGAAGGGGGTTGAATTCTTCACCTGCTGGTCCATCTTCAAGCCCTTGAGCCCTGCTTCCACCTCCTCCACTGACAGCACAACCCCTGAATGTGCTGCAAAGTTGAGAAGGTTCAGGTTAAACAAGCAAAGGGACACTGGCTAAAGATTCTCCTGGGTTACTGGGAGGGTTAAAGTAAATAATTTATTTCATAACTGAAGGGAGGTTTTTAAGGCTGACACCAAAATCCCAGGCACTTTGCAGTAGCAGTCAGCACCTGACAGTGCACTAGGGTAAGAGAAGGCATCAAGTACAGCAATAATCTCTAAATGTCAAAACTGGGGCGCTCCCACCTTGAGGTGCTGAGCTCCAGAGTGAGGCAAGGTCCAGCTTTGTACACTGTGTCCCTTAGAGGGATGCGGGGAGTCTTCTGGGACCTCAGAAGTGCAAGTGGCCCAACAGCAGCAGGCTGGCGGCCTTGCGCTGTGGGAACCAGCAACTCAAACGTGGGAGAAGGAAAACATCCCCTGGAGTGTTACGACTGCAAGCCAGTCCTAGGCCGGAAGGACACGCTCTTACTATGGGCCTTACCAGGTTCTCAAAGAGGAGGGACTGCCTGACAGTGGACACAACATGAGAAAGTGCACTCTATAGTTACTTCTGGTCAACCAGAAGTTGGCACCCCAAGTTCTCCTTCTGAGACTGACGTTCACTAACACTTACAGCTCTCCTTGAGTTTTTCTTTATTTGCAGAAAGACTGGAAAGAAGAGGTTTTAAATCCACTTTGGCTTTCTGTAGCATTTCTAAAATATCTACTTTGTTTTCTGCATGGTCTTCCAATGGGATAGGAGCAAAATAATTCCCCGAGTTCTGTCCAGGAGAGAGGATGGCTTGCTCCAGACCTGATGTGGCAAATAAACATACTCAAAATCAGTTGGTCTCAACCAGGCACAGACATACCCAGGCAAGGCTTCTCCGTAGCTTAAGCTCGATGTCCCCCAGCCCAACGAGGACAGGAAGTCAGAACGGCCAAGTGCACACCTGAGCCACCACCTGACTTACCTGCAAGTCTCTCCAGCTCTTCGTGGGGTGTTGATCCGAGACTGCTGGAGCGGCTCCCAGATTGGCTAGGGTTAGAGAACCACCTGCTGAACCGACTGGCAGAGACGGAGCCTTCTCCCAAAACATCTTCTATCATCTACAGAGAAAACCAAGGTGGAAAAGGACAAGGTGGTTCACATTTTAAGGAGCAGTCACTCGCTCTGAACATCTTCAAGGCGGACACGAACACACCTGTAAGTTTTCTTTTCTTCTATTTGCAATTAATACAAACTGTGGCATACCCAACTTGATACCTTCTGGGCACACACTAGACAGCCGATGCTCCTCCGGGGGACTTTGTTTTCTATCCTTTGCCACATTAACAATGTCTCAACACAGGTTTTAAGGGGACTGTTTTCCCAGTGGCAAGGACTTGCCTTGAATGTGCTGGGATCTCATATGGGGGCTGCTTCATGTCCTGGCTGCTCCACTTATCATCCAGCTCCCTGCTTGTTTCCTGGGAGGGCAGCACAGGACAGCCCAGAGCCTTGGGATCCTGCATCTGCGTGGGAGACCCATAGGAGGCTCCTGGCTTTGGGTCAACTCAGCTGTTGTGGTCGCTCGTGGAGTTGGACCAGCAGACGGAAGAACCTAACCTTCTCTCTTTTCCTCTTTGTAAATCTACCTTTCCAATAAAAGTAAGTAAAATAAACCAATCTCAAACTGTAAACTCACACCAGAGCAAAGTTTTCCATAGTCAAGCAGAGGTGAGGCCTTCAAAAAACATTAAGAACAGGGAATTGATGAACAAAAAGCCTTCTGCAAATCTGGCAGTCTCAAGGTTTGTACTGAACATCATGAAGTTCAGTACTGACCATTTCAGAAGCCAAAAGAAAATAGAGATTTCATAAAGATCCTAACTCCAAGTTAAAGGAAAATGTCACTCTGCTTTCTCACCTGCCAATAAAATCCCCATGGGGAAAAAAAGTTAACATGTAAAAGGATATTTTAACTGATTTCTAGTTTATCTAAGCTTAATATGTACTTTTCAAGTATTTTTTTCCTTCTTTTACAGTCAACCTCATTAGTTTGTTTAGTAAAAATAACAATTAAATGATATACTATGACCAGAAATAATTTCAACATTATTTTTAAAACATTTTTAAAAATTCATTCTATTAACAGTCCTCTAAAAAGAAAATTCATTATGCTGGAAGGCAGAACAACAGAGGAGGAGAGATGGTCAGGCTGGTTCACTCCCTGCACTGGCTGCCCTAGCTAGGGGTGGGTCAGGCCACAGCCAGGAGCCAGGAACTCCGACCGGGCCCTCCTCATGCTAGGGCCCAAGCCCCCGGTACCTCTCCCTACCTTCTCAAGCCCATCAGCAGGAAGCTGAACCAGAAGTGGAGAAGCTGGGGCTGGAGCTCATACAGGAAGCCAGAGTACGGCAGCCTGCCAGCTGCACCAATCTGCTGGGCAACACTCATTCTTGAAAACTAGAGCTAATCCATTTTGAAAATATCAATTTTCAATTCTACTCTATCATAAATCCATTTAAAACCTAAATGGATACTTATGCAGTCTAGTTGAAAGATGACAGCTAACATCCATTCTAAAAGATGAGGTGCAGCCTTAAAATCAAGGCACATAGTTGCCTTCCTATATCCCTGATGAACATAGAATTTTTGTTTAAGATTTTTAAATTTATTTTTATTGGAGAGGCAGATATGCAGAGAAAGGAGATACAGAGAGAAGATCCTCTGTCCACTGGTTCACTCCCCAAGTGACTGCAATGGCCGGAGTTGAGCCTATCCAAAGCCAGGAGCCAGGAGCTTCTTCCGGGTCTCCTACACAGGTGCAGGGTCCCAAGGTTTTGTGCCGTTCCCTGCCCTCCCAGGCCATAAGCAGGGAGGTGGGCAGGAAATAGAGCACCTGGGAAATGAACCAGTGCCCATATGGGATCCTGGTGCATGTAATGTGAGGACTTCCAACCACTAGGCTAGTGTGCCAGGCCCCAGAATGCTTTCTAAAAACTAGTACCATTGTACAGACAGAACTGGTGAATTTACCTGGAAGTCTGAAACACACAGTTTTCTAAGTTTAACAGAAGAAAATTAGATTTACATTTTTATTATTATCTGGAAGAAAATTTGTAAGCCATACTCAGATTAAGTCACAAAATACTCATCTTTCAGGAATTTTAAGCAAAGAACCTAATCTGATTATTATTTCTGGAATTTCCATCTTCAGAGGAACTAATTTCAATAAACTCCACCTATAGATTCTTACATGTTAAGTAATGCTGAATTCCAAGTATACCAATTTTGCATTAATTAAAGTGAAAGCATTAAAAGTGATACTTTCAGTGTAAATGGAAACCTTACAAAAAAATATACAGGGCCCGGCGTGGTGGCCCAGCGGCTAAATCCTTACCTTGCACGTGCCAGGATCCCATATGGGCGCCAGTTCTAATCTCAGTGGCCCCGCTTCCCATCCAGCCCCTGCCTGTGGCCTGGGAAAGCAGTCGAGGACAGCCCAAAGCCTTGGGACCCTGAACTATGTGGGGTACCCAGAAAAACCTGGCTTCAGATCAGCACAGCTCTGGCCGTTGGGGACACTTGGGGAGTGAACCATCAGATAAAAGATCTTCCTCTCTGTCTCCTCCTCTCTGAATATCTAACTTTGCAATAAAAATAAATCTTAAAAAAATCTTACTGATAAGCAGGCACTACAAATGGAAATGCTATATTCAACATATTCAAATGTTGAAAAGAAATTGTACAAACATCAGATATGGTGGCTTTGCTTGCAATATAAAAAAAAAATCTTTTTGTTTTAAACCCTGACAGAGAATCTTCCTCTTGCTGGCTCGCTCTCTCAACTGCCCACAACTGCAAGAGCTCAGCCAGGCCAGAGCCAGGAAATGAGAACTCCATCGGGGTCGTGCTACACGGATGTCAGTGACCTCACTGCCTGAGCCATCCCCTGCTGCCCCAGCATTCACACTAGCAGGCAAGTCGGGATCGGGCGGAGCAGGGAGGGTGGGCTCCTGTGGTACAGCGAGTTCAGCCACTGTGCGAGAAACCCACACTGGAGTGCTAGGCTGTGTCCTGGCTGCTCCCGTGTGCCTCCGGGTTGCCCTAGCGACTTTGCTGATTCAGCTTCCTGCCAGCGCACTCCGGGACCTGCCACCCACAGGGAGAGCCCAGAGTTCCAGGCTTCCACACGGCCCACCCCACCTTGGCTGCTGCTAGCAGACAGAAGATAATCATTTTGAAGTTTTCAGCTTGTCTACATTTTTGTTGTTATCAGCATGTCTTCCTGGTTTCCAAATTTTGAGTTACTTGTAAAAACTTCGTCCAAGATTTCCATGTCTTCTAAAAGAACGCCAAAACTAACCAACCAATCATTACATACTTGTCAAAATAAATCAGTGTGGCAATCAGTGTTTTGGTGAAACAGGTAAAGCTGCTGCCGGCAGCACTGGCACCCCACATGGGTGCTGGCTCAAGGGCAGCCGTGGCTGCTCCACTTCCGACCCAGCTCCTTGCTAAGGACTTGGGAAAGCAGAGATGGCCCAAGTGCGGCCCCTCCACCCAAAAGGCCCAAAGTCATCTCGGGGGTGAAAGATGTTCTCTGTCTCTCGTAACTTTGCCATTTCGCTAAATAAATCTTAAAAACAGAAATTCAAGAGAATAATGTGTGAAAAGATGCTTAGCTTCTCTCATGTTGAAAGGAAATATTCTCAGGGCCCAGTGTGGTAGCCTAGTAGCTAGTCATCACCTTGCCAAGTGCCAGGATCCTATATGGGTGCTAGTTTGTGTCCTGTCTGTCCACTTCCCATCCAGCTCCTGCCAGTGGGCTGGCAGAATAGTAGAGGATGGCCCAAAACCTTACACCCTACACCCTACACCCTCCTGGAAGACCTGGAAGAAGTTCCTGGCTTCAGATTGGCTCAGCTCTGGTCGTTGTGGTCACTTGGGGAGTGAACCAGTGGATGGAAGAATTCGTCTTTCCTCTCTGTAAATCTGCCTTTCCAATAAAAATAAAAATCTTAAAAGAAAAAAAATACTTCAAATAAAAGTAAATCATTGTGCCTCAAGAAATCAAGAATTTGAGAGTATCCATTTTTTCGTTTTAAAGATTTATTTTTATTGGAAAGGCGGATATACAGAGAGGAGGAGAGACAGAGAGGAAGATCTTCTGTCTGATGATTCACTCCCCAAGTGACCGCAACGGCTGGAGCTGTGCCGATCTGAAGCCGGGAGCCAGGAGCCTCTTCCGGGTCTCCCAAGAGGGTGCAAGATCCCAAGGCTTTGGGCTGTCCTCGACTGCTTTCCCAGGCCACAAGCAGGGAGCTGGACAAGAAGCAGGGCTGCTGGGATTAGAACTGGCGCCCATATGGGATCCTGCCGTGTTCAAGCGCCAGGCCCCAGTTTTTAAAGATATTTTTTTATTGGAAAGTCAGATACACAGATAGGATGAGACAGCCAGGAAGATCTTCTGTCCAATGATTCACACCCCAAGCGGCTGCAACAACCAGAGCTGCACTGATCTGAAACCAGGAGCCAGGAGCCTCTTCTCTAGGTCTCCCACTCAAGTACAGGGTCCCAAGGCTTTCAGCCATCCTCAATTGCTTTTCCAGGCCACAAGTAGGATATTGGATTGAAAGGGGCTGCCAGGATCAGAACCTGTGTCCATATGGGATCCTGGCACATGTAAGGTAAGCTCTTTAGCTGCTAGGCTACCACACAGGCCCTCTTTTCTTTTTTTTAATGATTTATTTTTATTTGGGAGGCAGATTTACAAAGAGACAGAAAGATCTTCTGTCTGCTGCTTCACCCCCCAAATGGCCACAATGGCTGGAGCTGGGGTAATCCAAAGCCAGGAGCCACAGGAGTCTCCCATGTTGGTTCAGGTGCCCAAGCTTTGGGCTATCGTGCATTGCTTTTCCAGGCCACAAGCAGGGAGCTGAATGGAAAGTAGAGCAGCCAGCACCTCAACTGGCACCTATATGGGATGCTGGTGCTTGGAGGAGGAGAATTAGCCAACTGAGCTATCATATAGGCTTCAGACCAGTCAGTTTTCATTATCTAAATTAAAATCACATCTGAATATGACCGTATGGTCACAGTGAACCACAGACTACTGGCTGGCAGACAGCAGACTTCTACTTAACTAACTGCTAGAATTTCAGCCATAAGTATAAGCCAACAGCTGCTGTGGCTGGCTGGAAGCTACACTGCACACATTCCCATGCAGCCAGCGCTGTAGGGACAAGTGCCGACTGAGAGTACACCAGGCGGGAGTGAATGCTCAGAAACATTTGTAACAAGCTGGTATTCTTGGGCCATTTATACTTTACACTGAAATAAAAGTCTTAACTCCAGAACTTCTCGCTCACCTTCTGTGCCTGTTCTGGGTCGACGAGGAGTCGGCAGATGGCAAGGGGACGAGCTCATGCTGCCTATGCTCGGGAGCCTAGTCCTGTCTGAGTGCTACTGAATGAAACAGCGAGCAGTTACAATTAGGGACAGAATTTAAGTTAAATTCCACGAGCCATTGATTCTAAAAGGTCAAACAAATATTTGCTGCTGTAAACAGAGCCATCTGTTTGTTCTGTTTTTTGGCCAAATGGCTCTTAATATCTTATCTTAGGACCTAGTACTGTGACACAGCAGGTAAAGCTGCTGCCTATGCCAGCATCCTATACTGGCACCGGTTTGTGTCCCAAGTGCTTGGGGTACTGCTTCCCACATGGGAGACCTGGAATACCTCCTGGCTTTGCCTGGGTCAGCCCTGGTCATTGCAGCCAGCCGGAAAGTGAACCAGTGGATGCAAGACCTCTGTTCCATCTCTAACTCCTGACCTTCAAATAAATCTTTATCAGTACATGTATCTTTTTCTATGCACTTTCAGCAACCACAGAAAAAACATACTCTATGCATAAACCACAGTTACATCTTTTCTTCAAAAGCTCAGTAATGTAGGGCCCGGCATGGTAGCCTAGTGGCTAAAGTCCTTGCTTTGCATTCGCTGAGATCCTATATGGGTCCTGGTTTGTATCCCAGCTGCTCCACTTCCTTTCCAACTCCCTGTTTGTGGCCTGGGAAAACATTCGAGGACCCTGCACCCATGTGGGAGACATGGAGGGAGCTCCTGGCTCCTGGATTCATACTCATCCATTGCTGGCACTTGGGGAGTGAACAAGCAAATGCAAAACCTTTCTGTCTCGGGCCCAGCACAATAGCACAGTGGTTGAAGTCCTCACCTTGCACGCCCGGGATCCCATATGGGTGCAGGTTCTAGTCCCGGCAGCCTCTGTTTCCCATCCAGCTCTCTGCTTGTGGCCTGAGAAGGCAGTCAAGGACGGCCCAAAGCCTTGGGATCCTGCACCCATGTGGGAGACCTGGAAGAGCTCCTGGCTTCTGGCTCTGGATTGGCTCAGCTCCTGCCGTTGTGGCCGTTTGGGGAGTGAATCATTGGACAGAAGATCTTCCTCTCTGTCTCTCCTCTCTGTATTTCCGACTTTAATAATAAAAGTAGTCTTTAAAACAAACAAACAAACAAAAAAAAAACCTTTGTCTCTCCTTCTCTCTGTAATTCTGACTTTCCAATAAAAAAATCTTAAAAACTCCACAAAACTCAATGTTATAATTCATAAATAATGAAGCAACTGTTCACTCCCAGGTGGCCACAATTAACAAGCCAAAACCAGAAGCTTCTGCTGAGCTTCTTACTCGGGAGGCAAGCCCCAACAATTTGGACCATTCTTCTACTGATCTTTCCAGACCATTACAAAGGAGCTGGACTGAAGCACAGCAGCCAGGACTAGAACCAGTGCTCAGATATGATGTAGCTGTTGCAAGTGGTAACTACACCTGTTATACGATGCCTGACCCAACCTATTGTTTCTAAAACTCCAGAAAGATTAGACCTCAAGAGTTCAATGCCAACACTCTTCAGTCTCCAAGATCCTTTTCACTAAGGGTTTCTGGAACCATCATATCCCAAAAGGTACCACCTAACCAGAGAGCCTGTTCCAGGAAATGTAAGCCAGCATATCACAGCACCTTCTTACAACAAATGCTTCACTACAAACCAAGGGGTGATGCATATAGCACAGCAGTTAAGACCCTACCATCCCCTACCAGAGCGCTTGGTTTGAGTCCCAGCTCCTCCACTGTGCTTCAGCTTTCTGCTAGTGTGCTTGCTGCCTGGGAGGTGTCGTTGATGGCTCATGTGCTGTGGTTCCTGGACAGCCTAGCCTAGTGTAAGACGGACTGAGTTATTACCCAGCCCACCCCTCCTTGTTATGGGGATGTGGCGACTAAATCGGCAGATGCAAGATCTGTTTCTACATTTTAGGTAAAATGAAAATAAATACACACACACACCCCCCACCCTACTTATGAATTCAGCAGAGTTTAAAAAAGAAAATGGGGTAGGCCTGGCACCATGGCTTAGTGGCTAAATCCTCGCCTTGCATGCTCTAGCATCCCATATAGGGGGTGGTTCGTGTCCTGGCTGCTCCGCTTCCCTTCCAGCTCCCTGCTTGTGGCCTGGGAAAGCAGGCGAGGATGGTCCAAAGCCTTGGGACCCTGCACCCACGTGGGAGAACAGAAAGAAGCTCCTGGCTCCTGACTGGCTCAGCACCAGCCACTGTGGCAACTTGGGGAGCAAATCAGTAGATGGAAGATCTTTATCTCTCCTCTTCTAGGTAAGTCTACCTTTCCAATGAAAACAAACCTTTAAAAACAAAAAAACAAAAAAATGGGGACTGTGTGCCTAGTGCTTATGACGCCCGTATCCATATCAGAATCCCTGGGCTCAACTCCCAGCTCTGCTCCTGATCCCAGCCTCCTGTTGATGCGCACCGTGGGGGGCAGCAGATAATGGCTAAAGTAACCGAGTCACTGAATTCACATGTGAGACCCAGAGTAAGTGTCCAACTCCCGGCTGTGGTCAGGAGTAAGAGCTCCTTTTCTACTTCTCCAAGACATTTCTTGGTTCAATGGTGCCAGCTTAGAAAGGGCTAACTGATATAGAATTCTCTTTTGGTCATTTCCATTGACGATATGGAAATAAAGCTAATCAAAATTCACATATTTAAAGCCAAAACCCCCAAAGCATCTAGCAAAAGATCTTAAACACTCAGATCAGATTGAACCCTACAGTTGCTCTATCCGCATGTAATAAGTGTGCTGCTACACTCACCGAAGCCAAGCATGGCACCTTATCAAGGTTAAAGAACTCATTAAAGTCAAATTCTCCTGGAGACTGCTCAGGCAAGACAGCTTCCCTTGGCACTTCCTGATCAGCAGCAGGCTCCTGTGCAAGGATGACCTCCACCTCATCCTCTTCGGCCACGCCTCCATTGCACTCGACTAGGCCTGAAAGCAAAACCAGCACAAACAGTTTCATCAGGGGAACCAGTCTGGTCTCTCTGTGGCTTTGGCCTTCAACACACATGCAGAAGAGTCACTGAGACCATTACAAGCTGACTTCTTGTGCAGGTAGTGCACTGGCCAGCGCAACACCATCTCTCTGCCTCCCTTCTATGGGAGGCAGGGCAGGACAAAAAGCCTTAGTAACAAGCCAACAAGCCAGTTTGCAAACACAATGGGGAAGGCTTAGGGTCCCCTTCCTAAAGTACTTCCAAGTTTTCTAGAATGTAGTGGGGTCTTCTTCTAATGGGAATACTTTATTTCTAAAATCACATCAACTGAGTGATTTCATTAATCAGTTTACGAACTGGGAGAGTGTGAGTGGTTCCCAGCTGCTGTTTTATTTTCCCAGTGCCCACAACAGCCAGGCCTGGGCTGGGCTACACCAGATCCAGCAGCCAGAACTCAACCTACGTCTCCCATGTGGGTGGCAGGAACTGCAATCACTTGAGCCATCGCCTACTGCTTCTAAGGGTCTGCCATCAGCAAGAAATCAGAATTAAGAGCAATCAGAGAACTGAACGCAGGCACTCCAACATGGGAAATGGGCGTCTTCCTTGCTAGGTTAGACACGAGCCCCAAACATTCTCCCCACAAATAGCCTGTGCAGACAGAACTGAAGGAACACGCCTCTGCCGACAAACCCGTCCCATCACTTTAATGTACAGGTCAACAGCCTGAAGTTTCTACAAATGTGAAAACTGGCAGGAGAGCCATTGTCATCTGACTATGGGTTGGCTGTAGCTCATGCCTGAGGGTCAAGTTCATGTCACCTACTGAGAAGGCTGCTTCCTGTCTACCCATCCTTGTGCTACCAAGCAGCGTTTCTGCCTAACCCATGCATTATCCCCGAGTACCCAGCACATTCTACAACAGCAACTCTGGTGAGACTAGGCTGTCCAAGGGATGGTAACTTGCTACAGTACAGTACTGGCTGCACTTAGAATCAATCATGTTCAGATTTTTTCTGTTCTCAAAGTAAGGGATGAGCCTGGTGTGATAGCCTACTGGCTAAATCTTCACTTTGCATCTGCTGGGATCCCATATGGTCACCAGTTTGTATCCTGGCTACTCCACTTCCCATTCAACTCCCTCCTTATGGCCTGGAAAAGCAGTGGAGAATGGCCTTAGGACCCTGCATCTGCATGGGAGAGCTGGAACAATCTCCTGGTTTTGGATCAGCACAGTTCTGGCCGTTGTGGCCACTTGGGGAGTGAACCAGTGGATGTAAGATATTTCTGTCTCTCCTCCTCTCTATGTATCTGACTTTGCAATAAAAAATAAATCTTTTAAAAAAAACCAAAAACAATAACAAAAGTAAGGGTTAAGTCAATCCATCAGATACTGACATTTAAATCATCTAATATTTTAGTTTAGCCAGAGAGTAAGCAAAAAGGCAAAATCCTTAAGGTAAAAACCAAAAATTTTCAGTTGAAGAGCTTTTAATAAAAAGAAAAAGAAACACTAGTCATTTAATGTTTTGTCTGACAAACAGAACTCCCAAAGCCCCTCTGGCAAAAGCACCCATCAGAGACCTGCTGGTAGTTGCCAAGTTCGTGGTTGACACTCAAGTCTTCCTAGAAGAAAAAAACGAAGTGCTGAAGGCTGGACCCAGCCCTTCCGAAAAGTCTCCAACAATTACGCAGGCCTGACATTCTAGATCAAGAGAGACTAAATGTAAACTCTGCTTTTACTCCAATAACCCAGAAATCTCGACAGCAATGAAACAGCTGACTGGTAGGGCAGCTGGCTTCCCCAGATGCTCCACACTAGCAAGTGGAGGAAAGTAAACTCCAGGATGGCCCATGCTCCCCCGTGGGGCCACCTGCTGCCTCAGGACCCTGAGCCTGTGGAGTGTTCACAGCAACCAGGGGCACACAGATGAGGCAGGAGGTCTCTCCAGTGGGTCCATCAGTACACATTTGTTTTGCCAGCCACCAGTGGCAAACGCTGCTTCTTCAAGACTAAGACTTAAATGGAAATGCCTGCTTCAGGGCTTTGTGGACAAAGCAACAGCCCCAGGAAAGTAACCACTGTAACGCCTAATCAACGTCAAGCAATTTTCCAGGATAGGAGTGCTTCTCCCTGACTCATGTTGATTTACTGGGACCTGCCTGTCCACTTTGGGACAAGTAGTAGACACCGTGCTGTAGTTCTGATGTCCAATTTTAGGATGACTTTGCTTAGACATCCACACCAGGAGCTTCTTAGTTATTTTTGTGTTCAGACTGGATATCTCCACAGATGAGTGCTTTTCGAAAACAGCAAGAAGGGTGTTCCACACGTACTGTCATGCCAGCATCAAGTTCTCTGGAAAGCAGACTGGGCCTGACCTCTGAGTGTGGCACTATTGAGTGACAATGTACACAGGCAGAGCCCACTTATTGCGACAAACCCAAAAGTCAGGGACCCAGGGACGGATGGCTGACAGCACTTTAGAATGAGCACACACTTTCTTTCAAGCGGATGAAACCCAGCCTATCTTTCCCCATCCCTGGGGGTTTTAACCATTTCTGCACATTCTGACTGTTCCAACTCTTCCCTACAACCTAGCCCTGGGCTCTGGGAAGGTGCAGCACCAGCCCTGCAACAGGAACCAGGCCTGCCTTGTTCGTCACTGCTCCCAGTGACAACAGGGACCCCAGGGTCTGCCCCAGCAGCCCGATGGAAGGCTGGACACAGACACAAAGGGCATGCATCACCCTTCCCTGGGAGCAACACTTGGGCTTATTCACCTCCTTGCACTCTTTTTAGCCAAGAGCAATCTACAGAGTGCTGGTTTATTTTATACACTAGCTCAGACAGCCTAGAGACCTTCTGCCATTAACCAGCAGGGTGAGCCAGGTCCCTGGACTAGAGGCTTTGACGTGGCCTCTATGTGGGAGGGTCTCATGCCAGCCCCTCTCCTCAGGTCCTCAGCCCTGTCTGGGAGGAGGAGCCCCTTCCAGTCTGTCTCACTAGCCTAATTCAGCTTCAGTGTCATTCCTAATGTCATAGGACTGACTATTCACTTCGGTATTAACACAGTTTTTCCCTTCTAGTGCCTGGTCTCTGCCTGAGGGATTTTACAGTTCACACAAAGGCTGAAATGAATGAGAACTTGGGGTAAGTGTCCACTAGAGATAAAGGTCCCATGGGGACACCTGGCTTCTCCTCCAGCGTCCTGCTGCTGCAGATCCTGGGCAGCGGGCGGCAGTGATGCTGCCCTAACCACAGGGAGTTTCTGCGTTCCAGCTCTGTCTCTCAGCCTAGCCGTCACAGGCATTTGAGAAAGTAAGCTAGCAGGCAGGAGCTCTGTGTCTCTGTGCCGCTCAGGTAATAACCCTGCAAGTCCTCCCAGGCAGACTGTTTTTACCTTACACAGCAAGAAGCCCACCAATTCATTCCAATTCTACCAGCGCATCCTTTATCTCAGCAGCAGCCCCAGTACTCAAACCTGATTCTCTATCGAGGCCCTGCACTCGCCACCCAGGTCACACCCCGCACCTGCAGCAGGCACGCATACATGTAGTTCTGGCTCCTTCAGCTTAGCAAGTGAGATGTTCAGCCCTGAGGAAGCTAAATTTGGGAGAAGGCATATCACAGAGAGCTAGGAAGGTCTATCCCTATGGGGAAGGAGGTGGGCTTTGAAGCTCCAGAAGCATCATGCTGAATTTCCAAGTTCACTACTCAACTTCCCTCATGGATCGCAGACAAGATATACAAGCCTCAAACGTGGGCTTCCGCTTGTCCTTGTCCGGAATGGGCCTAGCACTATACACACTGGCACAGCGGTACTAGACAAACTAAATATACAGGTAAAGCACGCTGTGCCTAGCACATGCGCAGTCCAACTCCCCTCTCCCCATTATTTCATGCCGTGTTTCTGACTTTGGGAGACCTTTCATTCTTTTCTGGTGCGTGGTGCTCACAGGGTACTGTGAGGCATTTCTGGTTAGTAACTAGTCAGCCCGACCAAGTACAGCCTGCACTCAGTGAATTCTCATATAGAAACCAGTTTCAAAATCAGGCTGTGACACTCACAAACCTGCCACTTCCTAACAAGCTGTGTCCATCCTTACGTGCTGGTCACAGGCCGTTTCAGCACAACACTCAACTTCCCTCCCCGCGCTGGCGCTGACCTTCCTTCACGGAGGCCGTCCTTCGCCTGGTCCTTTTTCTCCCCTTGTGATCTTCTTCTAGGATCTTATCATCAAATCCAGTAAGTTCAATGGTTTCCGACTGACTGGTGGGTCCGGCTGAAAACCACTCCGGTTCTTCTTCAGTGTAAGAGTCATTTCTTCTACGCTCGCCAAACACACGCTTACTATCCCCAAACTCTCTCTGGAAAAGTATACAAAGATTAAAAAAAAAAAAAAGTAGAGTTATGGTCAAAGCATTTCCACTTCAGTCAGTCTTAACAAACTATTAAGTGGACGCTCAATAGGGAAATGAAAGTACTAGGCTGGAGACGTGAGGCCTGTCACCATGGGTCACTCCCCGCCCCCCAGCTCTCTCCACTCCCGTCTGGTTTAGGAGCGGGCTGTGTCTATCCAGGTCCCACAGTCCCACAGTACAAAGGCAGCGAGTATCAAGTCCCCCAACATGCGAGGCACCCACTGGGTCTAGCGGACAAACCCGGAAGCGCTTGTCCTTGTAGTCCCTCTCGCGGTCGCGGTCTCTCAGGTCCCGGAGGTCCTTATCACTGAGGCGGTGATCTTTCTCAAAGGTCCGAGCCGAGATGATCCTGCCGCTGCCGATCCTGCGGCCCCCGAGCAGGCGAAGTCCATCGCTGTCTTTCTCCAGGGGACTCCCTGAACGCCGGGAGCTGACAGCAGCCGTCACGTGGCAGCCGCCGCCAAAGCTTCGTCTCTGCGGGCTGAGGACAACGTCTAGGTCATCTTCCTTTACGCGCTCCCGTGGATCTGGAAAGCAGTGGGGCAAAGTTAAGCACAAAGGAAACAAGGGTGTTTGTTCCTGTGGGTTCTCAGTCCACAGGTGGCGGGAGGAGGGGAAGGGTCGGAAGAGCCATCATGGAAGCTAGGCTTCTCAACAGACTCAGGTTCACAAGACTTACTCCTGCTTTCTCTCTTTGCAGTAATATACACTGTCAGTGTGACAGACTACTCGCCATGATGAGTTCCTAATGTATTTTGTCTAAATCTTTACTTACGTGACTACTAGCAAGTGTTTGGTCAACTAATGAACAGAGATAACTGTCAGTATTAGGAAAAAAAAAAAAAAACCTCAGAAAGTCAAAAGGCAAGCCTGGCAATGATAGCCTCGTGGCTAGAGTCCTCCCCTTGCATGTGCCAGGATTCCATATGGGCACTGGTTGTATTCCGGCTGCTCCACTTCCCTTCCAGCTCCCTGCTTGTGGCCTGGGAAAGCAGCAGAGGATGACCTAAATGGGACTCTGCACCAGCGTGGGAGATCCAGAAGATGCTCCCAGCTCGTAGCTTTGGATCAGCTCAGTCCCAGCTGCTGCAGTTACTTAGAGAATGAATCAGCAGATGGAAGATCTTTCTATTTCTTCTTCTCTCTGTAAATCTGACTTTCAATAAAAAATAGAAAAGAAGAAAAAGAAAAGAAAGTCAAAAGACATCAGGGCCCTAGTGTTGGGTCACAGTGGGTTGAGAGACTGCTTGAGAAGTCGGCAGGCAGCCCACACCAGGGTGGCTGCTCTGCTTCCAATTCAGCTCCACTAATGCACCTAGGGTGACTCCAGTGCCTGGGCCACTACAATACACTTACACAACTACTGGCTTTGGCCTGCACAACCCTTATGGCCATTTGGGGAGTGAACCAGCAGATGGAAGTTCTATCTCTCCTGCTCCCTTTTGGTGTCTTCTGAAATAAATCAATCTTAAAAAAAAAATGTTCTCTGCCTCCACCAAATGATACAATACACAAAAATTCAAAATATCTCACAGATACAAAAGTAAAAACTAAAATTATAAAACTTTTTAAAAGTTTTATTTTTGTTGGAAAGTCAGATGTACAGAGAGTATAGAGTACAGAGCGGGTGCAGAGTCCCAAGGCTTTGGGCCATCCTCTATTGCTTTCTCAGGCCATAAGCAGGGACCTGGAAGTGAAGTAGAGCAGCCAGGATATGAACCTGTGCTACAGTCTATATGCTACTGCTAATAGGGACACCATGGCTTTGTCTGCTAACTTATGAAAAACCCAAATGGCAAATCAGCTTCCTGATAACAGCATTTCTCCCCAAGGGTTAAAGCTCCCACACCTTAGAAGGATGCCCACAGCCGAAAGTACGCCTCCCAAGCCAGCACCCGCCGTGCGCTGTGCTCACCTACTATCCTGCGCACCAGGGATGGCCGCTCTGCATCCAGCTCTTTCTTCGGATTTTCCACAGGTGAGCTTCGCCCTGAAGCTGGGTAGAGAGAGGCATGCCACTTCTCTGGGTCCCAGACACCATCACTGCAGGTCAAAAGGTACCAAGAGTTAGCGCCTGCCCCCATAAACCACACAGGTAATCTAACTTCTAACCCTCTTGAAATAGTCAATTATAGAAAGCTCTTTTCCATGTAAGTTTGTGGTTGCTTTCATGAAGGTTATCTCAAGATGAGAACTTATTAAACTTAATAAAGACTTATTAATTCAATACTATTTTTCTGATAATCACGTAACACTGGTAAGCACTTGAAAACCAACTGTCATACATAACTGAGGCCTTCAGAGGACATACGAACTGCAGTAACTGCCTGTCTTCCACAAAGACCAATGACCCCAGCCTGCAGAAGACGAATGCAGGGTAGACAGCTCAAGAACCTACAGTGTGTGCAGTCTACCTCATTTCCTCTCAGAAGGGGTGGCAAGCAGCACGGGGTGTGGGGCAGGAGCTCTGAGGCCCTAATAACCTGGGGCCAGACTGCAGCCCTGCCCCTCACTGTCACTGTGGGCATTCTGAATGAGGTGCTGAGCTGCACCTCCTGCGGAAAGGACTTCCCAAACCTCAGATCGCATACTGGGCTGTGCCCTTCTCAGCCTGTAATGCAGTAACTGAATGGGTCCCTCCATGAAGGCAGAGTCTCTGCCAGCACCCCGGTGCAGGACTAAGCACAGAGCAGGTACTGCAGTACCTGGACCTTTCTAGAATAAGTCACCTTTTTCAGACTCCGAATTCCCCGGCCAAGGGGGTGTCACCCATCTGCTAGGATGGTTATGAGGATGACTCGAGACTTGAGAGTAAAGGCATCCGGATTTAACAAAAGTCCACCTTCTTCTCCAAACACATTAAACACAGCAGGATGCTTTAATTGTGAAAAATACAGGCCAATATAAAATATCTACCTTGATATTTAGGAAACTACTAAGGTAACCACAGGAAACACAATACAGGGTTATTATTGCAGAAGGTTTTCAGATCATTTTTTGCTGCGGATTTTCCAAACCAAAGTTTTCTGTCTCTTGAAGAGACCTACAATTCAGTAAAGGCACAGAAAAGACCTGGAAAGGATTCCTGGGGTCAAGTCTTTATTCTGCTTTCTGACGAAAGGACCCTGATTGAGACTTTTCTTCTAGTTTTAGTTTACAAGTAAAGTGAAACCCGTGTTATGACTTCCTGAAAACCCTCCCGACTCACAATTCTACCCAAACCCTCAAAATAGTGCAATCCGCAATTTGCTACGGTTGGCGTAAGAAGTCAACGACCAGAATGATGCTCATACCTGTCGTATTTTTCCGAGAGGCACGAAGGCCGCTGCTTGGAATGGGGCCTTTCTTTGATATCCAAGAGCTCCTCCTAAAGAGAAACCAAACGTGATATTTGAATCCCATTTCCCAGGTCACAAGCCTGCTGTTCTGAATTCCCAGCTTAAGCATGTCTTGCAATCTTTATTTCTTGACTATCAGGAGATTAAGCAACTTAATAGTGATTAGTTTATTGCTAAAACATTGCTAACTCTAGTAACATGGTCATATTCCACAAAATCAAATGCTCACCAAAGCATGACACTTCAGCCTTAGTTCTAATCTCCAGCTAACCTTTCACATGAATCAAACACCAGTTTGCAAGGGGGTTAGTTTTTCTTTTCATTTTTGTTTTAAAGATTTGCTAAGCTCTTCGCCACTGTCCCACAATGATGGATATATGACTGTTTATGAAGAATTATACTATAGTAATAATATAAGGAACTCAATGGGAGGGAGAACTTGGGAAGGGGGGAAGGAAAATTCCAGGGTCTATGGAAATGTATCATAAAATGATAATAAAAGATTTGAAATTCAGAGATACACAGAGGGAAAAAGAGAGAGATCTTCCATCTACTGGTTCATTCCTCAGAAGGCCACAATGGCCATAAGTAAGCCAGGCCAAAGCCAGGAGCTTCATCCAGGTCTCCCACTTGGGTAGGATCCAAACACTTGGCCATCCTATGTTGAGCTTCCCAGGCCATTAGCACAGAGCTGGACTAGAAGGGGAGCAGCTCACACAGGGACTGCAAAACACGTGGCTGGCAGTGGCTTTACCTGCTATGTCACAAGACCAGCTCCATGGGTTTTCTTAATGTGAAGTTCTCAATTCTATATTAATGCCTGGATTTGTGTAACACCTCCCCCCATTTTCTGTATGTATATAATTTCCTTTAAATCACTTGAGAATTGCATATGCCATGCTTTTTCAACCTAAATATATCAGTACATATTTCCCAAGAATGAGGATATTGTTTTGCAATCTCTTGTCTGCTTTCATGAAACGCTGGCCCTACAGAAAATTACTCCAGTGACCATTTTCCTGTCCTGGGCTGGAACCCTGTGCTTGCCAGCATAACACACAACGGATGCCTTGGCAAACAGATTTCCTTCTGCAGACAACTGCTGAGGAGGACTGCGAGTTTCACTACAACTATCACTAATACTTTACCCCACCCTTCTCACCTCTGATTACTGACCCAGAAATGTCCTTTATTTTTTCCACCTTCCAACTCAGGCTAGAATCAGATATTTAGCTGTTCTAGCTCTTTTATTATCCTTTGCAATAATTTCTACAACTTCAATTTAGAAAATTGGCACTGTTAAAGAATACAGTCTTTTTAAAAGGGACAGCTATCCATTTTCGGCATGTCTGATGTGTCCCCATGATTAGACTCAGGCTAACCCTGGCGGGAGCGGAACACAAACCCAGGAGACAATACCTCGTTCCCAGACCATCACTCTAGAGGCCCAAGATGCCCATCTGTCCCCATCAGCAATGTTTACCACTTGGTCAAGCTCTTTCAATGTCTGTTTCCTATCTGCCAGCTTCTGCTTTCCCACTTGCACTTACTATGCAATCTGAAGGGTGATATCATTTACTTAAGCCTTTATTTATTTGGAGGTGGGGATGAGCTTACAAGTGTAAGCGAGCACTTCCATTCCTGGTTTACTCCCTAAATGCCTATGATAGCTGGTACTAGGCCAGCTGGGAGATGGAACTCAAACTCTTGTGTGTCAGGAGCCCATCACTTGAGCCACCACCACTGCCTCGCAGGGTCTGCATTAGCAGGAAGCCACCATCAGGAGCCAGAACCAGAATGTGAACTTGGTACTCCCATATTAAACATCTAGGCAAAATGCCCACTCTTGAGGACATTCTGAATCATTTAAATACCCTGGCCCTCACCAAAATTTTTCCCTGAAACTTTAAAGATCTGAAAGGCAGAGCGACAAGAAAAAGCAGACACAAAGGTATGTATCTTTCATCTGCTGCTTTGCCAGAGCTGAGTTAGGCCAAAGCCAGGAATTCCAGCTGGATCTCCCACATGGGGACAGAAACCCAAGTTCTTGGGCCATCATCCCTGGATTCCCACGTACAGAAGCAGAAAGCTGGATCTGAAGCATGCAGTAATTACGACTCAAACTAGAGACTCTAATGGTGGCCCAAACAGAGGCACAATACTAACCGTTATCAATGATTCTTCCCAAGCCATTCTTCCCTTTCTAACCCAACTCTGTATTTATCAGCCAGCACGTGGCACCATACTGTAACACCCAGTCCTTTCTGCTCCACTCATTTACCTATTTATGTTGGTATGGACTCACAGGTTTTGCCAGTGGGAACCTTGGCTATTTTCCAAAAAATTCTGGTTCTTCTAAGTGGGGAATGGTAAGAGAAACCAAAGCCAGAGCAGTGGGTTTGCTTGTGAGCCCTTTCAGCTAAATCCAGAAGCCTAAGCATCTCAGCAGGCACACAAGGTAGACCCACATGGCTCACACACACCATTGCTACTGCCATCCTAACAGTCCCCAATTTTCAATAGCAGTAAAAGGCTGCAAGTGACTTACAACAAAGCAAAGCACATGCAATGGTGGGGAGACTTCTGCCACGCTCACTGCCACGCCTCACAACAGGAGGATGTGCACAGCTTCACTAACTTGGGGCAAGGACTGATCTGTTCTCCAGGCTCTATGAGTTCCTGTGCATAAGCATATCAAATTCATTGTGCTCATATACTTGAAAATTCCAAATTTTAATATCCTTTTTTTATTGTGAAGTGCAGGGTTACAGAAGCAGAAGGAGAGAGACAGAAGGAGATAGAGGGTTAAGGTAGGGGGACAATCTCCTATCTGCTGGCTCACTGCCTAAATGCTCACCACAGCCAGAGCCGAGTCGGTCTGAAGCTGAATCAGGAGCCTGCAGCTTCCTGCAGGTCTCCCACAGCCTTGAACCACCTGCTGCCTTCCTAGCCTAGCAGGGAGCTGGATTTGAACTGGCTCCCTCCCATTTAGAATGCAAATGCCACAGGCACAGGCTTAGCTTACTACACTATAGTGCTGCCTCTGAATGTTTTGTTTTTCTTTTAAGATTTCTTTTTATTGCAAAGTCAGATATGCAGAGAGGAGGAGAGATGGACAGGAAGATCTTTCATTTGATGATTCACTACCCAAGTGACCACAATGGCCAGAGCTGAGCTGATCTGAAGCCAGGAGCCAGGAGCTCTTCCGGGTCTCCCATGCGGGTGCAGGGTCCCAAGGCTTTGGGCTGTCCTCCTCGACTGCTTTCCCAAGCCACAAGCAGGGAGCTGGATGGGAAGTGGTGCCGCTGGGTTTACAACCGATGACCTAATGGGATACCGGCATGTTCAAGGCAAGGACTCTAGCCGCTAGGCCACCGCACTGGGCCCTCTGAATGTTTTCCTTAAAATATCAAGATGCTCTAGGGCCAGAGACATCTTGTTTATTTAAGATTTTGTTTACTTTTATTGGAAAGTCATTTACAGAGAGGAGAGACAGAGGCAAAGATCTTTCGCTGGTTCACTCCGCAAGTGGACACAATGGCTGGAACTGAGCTGATCTGAATCTGGGACTCAGGAGCTTCCGCCTGGTCTCCCATGTGAGTGCAGCCCAAAGCTTTGGAACCCTTCACCTGTATGGGGGACCTGGAAGAAGTGCCTGGCTCCTGGCTTTAGATTAGCTAAGCTCCAGCCATTGTGGTCACTTGGGGACTGAACCATTGGATGGAAGATCTTCCTCTCTGACTTTCCAATAAAAATAAATCTTTCGGGAGGGGGGGGGGGGAAGACCAGAGTTCAGAGAAGCGTAGTATCAGAGCTGGATGGGTGAGAAGCGTGTGGATGCAGGGCCTACCAGTAGTTATGCTGATGTTGAGATTATTACAATAAAGACATGCTTTAGGACTGCTTAAAGATTTTCCTGTACAAACAGGAACAATCTTGTAATATAGGAAACACACGTAACGCTACAGGAAAACCAAGTGCAAAGCAATTTTCTGCGTTGGAGGGCAACTTGAGGATTATTACAGATGCATTTTACTCCTCATCTCTAAATCCAAACACTAATCAAGAATCCTAGTACTGTATACTGTTAATTCAAAAGCAGCATCTTTCACAACTACATATAGTTTTACATAGAAGGTTCTTAAAAAATAGGATTTTGAGACTTTGAACTGCAAAGGATCACAAGACCTACTTGCTGAAACTTTGATGATTTCCATCTATTAACTTAGGAGTCAACGAAGAAAAACGTGAACACTTGGACCAAGCCATGAAACACCAAGAAAGGCCCAATTTTACCCATTTTGATAGAGACACAAATATTTTAATGTGATTTGTGCTAGAATGGGTCTCTCACCATGTGCAGCAGGCAGAACTAAAATTACAGAGGATGAAAAGCTATTTTCTTCTGTAATAGTATCCTCTGAAGCAGCAACATTTGATGAAGCTGTTTCCTTTTTCTCCTGAGTTGCCTGTGCTTTGCTCATCGCAGCTGAAGTGTCACTGTTTAATCCAGTCTTACATCACCTATGTTGCCTTCTAAGAGATTCACAGTTGTGGCTCTCATATTTAGGTATTTGATCTCTTTTCACTTTTTTTTGAAATTTAGTATTTGCACACCCCCTCCCCAATATTTAGTTTTACTTAAAGGAGAGCAGGAAACACATGGAAAAGGAAAAAGACAGGGGAGGGGATACAGAGACCATTCCTCTGCTGGCTCACCCCCAAGACAGCCACGACGGCCAGGGATGGGCCAGGCTCAAGTCGGGCATCAGGAACTTCATCCAGGTCTCTTATGTGGGTGGCAGAGGCCCAAGTACCTAGGCCATCTTCCATTGTTTTGCTCAGATCATCAGCAGCGAACTGGATATAAAGTGGAGCAGCCAGGCCGTAATAACCGTAATACCCATCTGGGATGTTGCTACTGCAGGCAGCAGCTTTATGAGCTATGCCACAATACAGACCTTCACAAATCGTGTATCTGATGAGGATCTAGTATGCAGATGATATAGAGACTACTAAACAGAAAGGC